TATTATTAAATTTTTTGTTCATTGTGGTCTTTTCAACTTAAATGTCATTCAAATGCTGCACATTTTTTTTTTTAAGTTCTTACTTAATCAATCAAGGTTAGCTCCGGTTAGTAATTCATTAGTTTCACCAACTGATGTGGGTTTTAGGATTTTTATGTTATTCATATGGGATGGTGCAAAACCTTATTCTGCATGAGTTTACTTAATTTTGGGATTAAGGGAAGCATTAGGAGACTTGAATGACTAACGAAATTAAGTCACTCCATTAAAACTCTATGATATTTGGTTATCATTTGTTTGCTAAATATAGAGTCCTCTTTCTGTTGATCCTTGTTGACAAAGAAAGATGTTGTTGTTGTGATATTGTCTGATTTTTTAGCTTTTTAAATTAAAAAGTAATTTATAATGATTTTATTTTATAGTGTTTAGTTTGTGATTTTATTTGATGTTATTTATCTCAATAAATAAGGAAAAAAATATTGTAGATATATAAAGTTTTACTTTATGTAGGTGTGATTTTTTACTGGAAGTTTGTGATAGTGTTTTGTCGTCTCAACCTCAATATGGATAAAAGCTGGATGAAAAATCGAAATACTCAGGAGTATGCTAATGGAGTAGAGAAATTTTTAGACTTTGCATTTAGTCACCAAACTACTAATGGAATGATTCTTTGTCCATGTAAGGAATGTAAAATTAGCATACTAATGAGTAGACATGATGCACGGGAGCACTTATTAGTCAAGGGTTTTGTTAAAGGGTACGCCCAATGGATCGCTCATGGAGAATTGGAATCATGTCAAGAAAACATTAGTGCACCTCAGTTTGATAACCCTTCTACTTCAAATGTCGGTGATGATATGGATGGGTTACTTCATGACGTTTTTGGTCTTTCACATGAAAATGAAGATTCTCACATTAATGAGGATGCTCATATTCCTTGTGACACGGGATCACCAATAGACACAGATTTACCTGGTGGGTTTACTGGAGAATTTTATAAGTTACTGGATGATTCCAAGTTGAGCTTATATGAGGGATGTGAGAAATTTTCTAAACTTTCATTCATCATACGTTTGTTGCATTTAAAATGTCTTCATAAGACCAGTAATAAACATTTTGACATGCTCTTGGAGTTATTAGGAGAAGCATTTCTAGAGGCAATGACGGGCTTACCTAAATCTTATTACAAGTCTAATAAATTGATACAGAAGTTAGGGCTCGGTCATGAGAAGATTGATGCCTGTCAAAATGATTGCATGTTATATTGGGGGGGATAATAAGCTTGAGACTAAGTGTAAAACATGCAACAAACCTAGGTGGAAAACCTCAACAAAAGATCCAACGGATAGTAAAAGAAAAATTGCGCATAAGGTCTTATGGTATTTTCCGATAAAGCCTCAGTTGCAAGGTTGTTTATGTCATCCAAAACAGCATATCACATGAGATGGCATGCTAATGGTCTTGCTGATGGTCGAATAGAAGATGGAAAGACGAGACATCCAACTGATTCACCTGCTTGGCGAACGTTTGACCACAATTATCCTGAATTTGCCAAAGAACCTAGAAATGTGAGATTAGGATTGGCTTCAGATGGATTTAATCCCTTCAGTCAAATGAGTCAACCACATAGTACATGGCCAGTTGTTCTTGTACCTTATAATCTTCCGCCTTGGATGTGTATGAAAGAGCCGTATACCTTCTTGTCCTTGATAATTCCTGGACCATTTGCTCCTGGAAACAATACTGATGTGTATTTACAACCTCTAATTGCTGATTTGCATGATTTCTGGACTGTGGGAGTTGAAACATATGATGCATATGCTAAGAAAAATTTTCAGCTTCATGCGAACTTATTGTGGACGATGAGTGATTTCCCAGCATATGCAAATTTGTCAGGGTGGAGTACCAAAGGGAAACTTGCATGTCCTGTGTGTCATAAATTTACAAGTTCACGATGGTTAGAAAAAGGACATAAGTGGTGTTATATGGGGCATCGGGGATTTTTACCTAAAACTCATGAGTTTCGAAGAAACGCCCAACAGTTTGATGGAAAAGAGGAGCATGGAGTACCTCCTCCAAGACTCACAGGAGATATGGTGATAAAAGAACTGGAAGGTATTGATTTTAAATTAGGGAAGGATCTAAACAATCCAGAGTTGCCTTTTAGTTGGACGAAAAATAGTATTTTCTTTGATCTACCATATTGGAAAGATAATGTGATTCGACATAATCTTGACTTTATGCACATCAAAAAGAATGTATGTGAGAGCATTTGTGGGACATTGTTGGATATAGATGGGAAATCAAAAGACAACCTCAAGTCCAGGTGTGACTTGGAAGAAATGGGGATTCGATCGGAGCTTCATCCTAGAACACTTGAAAATGGCAAAATTTTCCTTCCTCCAGCAGCATTTAAATTGAAGAAGGATGAGAGAAAAATGTTTTGCAATGTATTAAAGACAGTTAAAGTGCTTGACGGTTACTCCTCCAATATCTCTCGTTGTGTTCATAAAAATTCAGATAAGCTTGTTGGGTTAAAAAGTCATGACTACCACATCTTGATGCAACAATTATTACCCATTGCAATGAGAAAAACTGTACCCAAGTCAGTGCGCTATCCCCTGATCAGATTAAGTTGGTACTTTAGAGAAGTAGGCTCTAAAGTAGTTTCTCCTAAAGAAGTTGCTAGTTTGGAGAAAGATATTGTCATTATACTTTGCCAGCTTGAAAAAGTTTTTCCTCCATCTTTTTTTGATATAATGGTACATCTAACTGTTCATTTGGCAACTGAAGTAAAGCTCGCTAGACCGGTTCATTATCGTTGGATGTATCCAATTGAAAGGTGATAATAGTTAATTTGTTACACAAAAAGTATTACAATCTAGTCTGAAATTAATGGAGAATTAACGGTGTTTCTTAGAATTAGTTCATTTTGCTTAACTAGTTTTGTGTTTTTGCATAGGTAAGGACCTAAGTGCATAACTGCTGGAAAAGAGGGGCTTTAGGAACAAAAATTAGGCTGCTGAAATCATATGAACTAGTCGTAAAGACTAGGTGAAATTCGAATTTGGATGAAGATATACTTGTTTTTCTTACGTCTGAGATGTTGTATCCGATTGTCATTTGAATTAGTTATGTTTGATAGTTACTGTGAAGTTCTTGTGTGTTTGTTGCAGTGTCACTAACTTGAGTGACTTTTGTCACTCAGGGGAGTCAGTAGTGCCACTTGCCCGAGTGATATTTTCACTCAGGGGAGTCAGTGGTTAGCTTTTGTTTTCTTGTTTTTGTGTGTAGTTCTCAAGGGTTAGATTTTCTTGCTTGAGGACAAGCAACTCTTCCAGTTTGGGGGAGTTGATAATGGTTAATTTGTTACACATAAGAATTACAATCTAGTCTGAAATTAATAGAGAATTAGGGGTGTTTCTTAGAATTAGTTCATTTTGCTTAACTAGTTTTGTGTTTTTGCATAGGTAAGGACCTAAGTGCATAACTGCTGGAAAAGAGGGGCGTTAGGAACAAAAATTAGGCTGCTGAAATCAAATTTGCTGAGCTAGTCAAAGATATCTCCAAAACACAATTTAATGAGTGTGTCTCATCCAAGGGCATGCTTGCCCCCTTGGTTAGACTCCCAACTGCCCATGATGATCAATGTTGCAGCTGATACCAGTGCTGGAGAAGGGCAAGAGACCAGTCAATTCTCGGATTCAAGACACAATGCATTGGGAGAAATAAATAATTCACAAGCATGGGGAGGCTATCTTGGAAGAAGAACTGGCTTCAAAACTCTATAAAAGGAGCTGCATTCCCAGCATGAAGGGACATCTGAGTGGACATACAACACACAAAAACACCACAGAGAGAGAAGAAGAGAGCAGAGAGGGGAGAAAACAAAAGGAAGAAGAAGTCCAGTAGCAGAAAAAGAGGAGTAACAGACCTCACTCGCCTGAGTGACCTTAGTTGCTGCTCAGCCATCTAGATTTACTTCTTCTCAATGCTTTCCTTCTTTTCTTGTATTTTCTATAGTTTGTATGTGTAGATAATTAGATTTCATTCTCTGGAACCTATGTAGTTTAAGTCTGTGAATGCATTCGGATGATTTTGTGTTTTGAAGTTAAAGCTTTCATCTACCTATTGATTAAATTGGCCATTTGATTGATTGTGTACAGAACTAAGTGAATCCCGGAGGGTATACAAGGTTTAGAATCATTTAGCTTCAACTTATGACTTGGAGGTAACAGTCCAAGGTTCTAATTGAGATAGGAATATACTTGGTTAGCATAAGCATTCATATAAGGCTTGAAAACTTAATGACTTTATGACTTGATTAATCATTGGAAAATAGTTTAATTGAGTTCATAAAGATACCTCTAGGAAAAATCGGAAGTGACTTAGAGATATATAAGTGCCTGAATGAGCATGAATTCATACCAAAAGAGTGCAAGATTACAACTTGATTACATAGGGAAAAGAGAATGAATATCTAGTTTGTTGTGTCAGTCCCTTGAGTTGGAATTCTCACTCCCATTAGGAAGGTTTCATTTGTCTTTGTTTGTTTTTAGTTCTGCAGAGCCACTTGTGTGAGTGACTTTACCACTCGTGCAAGTGAGTGACACTCTGCAACTATTGTGTTCTTGTTTATTTTCCGGTTATTTGAAGTTTAACTCGTCCCTGTGGGATCGACCCGACTTATCCTATCTACATTTTAAGTTGGTAATTTATTTTGGGAGCTTCGACAACCCACCAAAAGTGGCGCCGTTGCCGGGGACGGTGAAAAACTTCTTTTAACCATTTCTTTGTTTTTGTTTCTTTTCTTTTAATTTTCTGATTCGAAAAGAGTGTGCCAACATTGAAATTTAATGGCAGATTATCCTTCATATATAGGAAATTCTTATTATTGGAATAATTACCAACAAATTCCACCTAGTTATCGTTTTAATCCCCCTTGTGCTTTTAACGATTTTGATTCTTATGAGCAGGATTATTACTACTCTGATCCACCAATGTCCCCGTGCTATGAAGGTGAGCTCGACTGGGAGCTGAGTCAAACAGAGTGGAACAAATTTCAGGAAACTTTAAAGGAGTTGGAGCAAAGAGTTGAACAAATACAACAAGTGCTCCAAAAGTTGAACGAAATCTCAGAAAGGAAGGAAGAGCAATTTTCTCATCAGAATTTAGTCCTACCAATGGAGGTGAAGGAGGTAAAGGAAAAACCAGAGGTGGAGATGCAACCACCACCATATCAGAAACTACCTCCTTATGTTCCACCTTTGCCATTCCCACTCAGGGGAGTGACGAAACACACTTCCTCAAGTGGCGTTAAAAACTCTGCCAAGCAGAAAGTTGTGCAACAAGATTTTAGTAACCCACTTGATGAGGAGTTGTGTTTAGAGGGACTGTTTCCTGAAGGTGAGAGTGCTCAATATTTCATGAGACTCTTTCTCCAGAAAGAGAGATAATTGACTCGTAGGATACAACTTGTTTACGAATGAAGAAGAGTCAATTATCTCCCTTGATGAGAGTCATGCTGGCAGAGATAAGGGTGAATTCACTTGGGGTGTGCAAACAGAGTATATTGATTTTGATCAATGCCAAACCAAGAAGGACCCCGAGATGTGGGAATAGTGGAGCAAGAAAGATTTTCCTCTATGTTGGATGATTCAAAAGTATGCTTCCTGGAAGCATGATAGCCTAATTGATGGCACATTCTTGTGGTATCAAGATGGCTATTCTGAGTGACTTGAAGCCACTAGAGTTGATTATGAAATGCATCTTGCATTTCAACATTTTGCTTGCTTCATGGGAGGCAACCCATGTTCTTTTCCTTTTAGTTTGTTTTTGTGTAATTTTAATTTTTTCTTGTTTAATGTGTGTGCTTCCATGTGCAGAAGAAGTATCAATGTCATCCCAATTCAATTGGTAATCCAAAAATCCAGCAGATTCTGATATCAGTCACTCTGGAGAGTGAGAATAGTCACTCTCCCAAGTGTGCCTGCAACAAGCCGAGTGCTATGATTGGTTTGCTTTCGATTTCTTTTAGTCTGCATAGGATCTGTGCTTTATTTTATGTTTGGGAGAATTGATGTATGCTCTATTCACGCATGATTATTGTTAGTTTATTTTGTTTCTAACTTAATATGGGAATTTTGAAAACTAAATCTGTTGACTTTGAAATTTTGTGTGTATTGCTGAAAGTTCTAAGACACTTTGGGAAGTGACTCATGTCACTCGGCAAAGTGACTCTGAACCTACTTGATGTTTGAAGTCAATTTATTTCTTTTACCCACCCATATATTTTGTTTTACCTTCCTGTTTTCTTTCTTCTAGGTTCTCGAGACATCTTTTGTATGTCATATCCCTTAGTAGCTTGTTAATTCTGAAATTTGGTGTGCTTAATGTGTACTTGCTAGACTTTAGTTTGGGGTAAACTTCTAGTATCTTTATGAGCATTAATGCCATATCTAGTAAGTTTAGGGAGAATTTTCAGAATTAGCATGTCTGATTGCATATGAGTCACCTAGTTCTTTCTGAGCATAGTTGTTAAAAAGCTAAATCTATTTATGGAACTATGGTGTTTCTGGTTTGTTGCTTTCTATGGTCTCTGTGCTTAACTGTATGAACCAAGGAACATCATGAGCTTAATTTTTGATATCTTTAGTCTGTGTTTCAATTCTAATCCTTGGTATTTGAGAAAACTAAATTTGCAGCTAAAGAAGGACTGTAGAGCCACTCCCACGAGTGACCAAAGTCATTCCAATGAGTGACACTGTAGAAAAATAAAAATTCTGAACTCTCATAGCTGTTGAATCTTTTTTGTGTTCTGATGTTGCAATTCCAGGCTGTTGTACAAGGATGTCGCGATCCCTTGTATGGAGTGTATTTCAACACAACATAGAGCTTGCAACAAATCGAACAGATATGTTAAATGATGTGCATCATGAAGCCCTCCTCATCCATTTCAATTGCTCCAACTCAGGGAAGTCATCAGTCCTCTACCTCACTCACGGGAATGAGAATATCACTCCTGCGAGTGACCACACAGTTTTTGTTGTGAATTGTTTTTGTTTCTGTGAACTGTTTTTGTTGTTATTTTTGTTTTTGTGTGATTTGTTTGTTAGCATTGGAGACAATGCTTTGAATAAGTTTGGGGGAGTAGTAGGGAGCATGTTTATAATTTGTTTTTTTTTTTTTTTTTGTGAATGCTAGTTCTATGATAATTGGATATCTATGAAGACCAATGTACTTAATTTCTTATATCTAATTCAAATTTCGATTTTACCTAACTCTTGCTTATCATCTCTACACTACTTAAGCACACATGCCTTTTATGCTTAGTTACATTGAAGTTGAGTTTTATAGCATGCTCTGTGTTGTTCTAAATTGGTTAAAAATATTTAAATGACTTTTCTTACTACCACTTGAATGCAAAGTGTGGTTTGTTTACATGCTAAAGAGTTGACTAAGGCAAGCTTAAATGACCCTCTCTAATACCTTCTTTGGGAATTGGTAGGCGGAATGCTCAAAAATGAGTAAATAAAAAGTTCAAAAGAACTTGAGGGAGTATAAGGTAGAGCATCAATGCTAAATCCCTTAGAGTGAAATGGCAACAATGAGTGATCCTTTGGCCTGGAAAGCAAAGTCTCCTATCGAAAGCTCTCGGTAGGAGAGGTCGGAAGTTGGAAAGAAAAAGAATCATGAGTCATAAATAGAAAAAGCCAAAAGACTTGGAGGTAAATAAAAGGGAATGAGGGAGAATAGTTAAAAAGAAATGAATTGTGAGAGTCCTTATATCTCTGAGGCTGTATTGGCCACATTAGCATGATTGTGGTAAGAAAGAATGAGTCATAAGGCTCAGAAATATATAAATATGCACCATGAGCTGTTATTTACTTTATACTAATTTTTTACTTTGCATACTTGGCATGATTTACACACACATGGAGGTGATTTCATAAAGACTAGGTGAAATTCAAATTTGGATGAAGATATACTTGTTCTTCTTACGTCTGAGATGTTATATCCAATTGTCATATGAACTAGTTATGTTTGATAGTTGCTGTGAAGTTCTTGTGTGTTTGTTGCAGTGTCACTTACTTGAGTGACTTTTGTCACTCAGGGGAGTCAGTAGTGCCACTTGCCCGAGTGACATTTTCACTCAGGGTTGTCAGTGGTTAGCTTTTGTTTACTTGTTTTTGTGTGTAGTTCTCAAGGGTTAGATTGTCTTGCTTGAGGACAAGCAACTCTTCCAGTTTGGGGGAGTTGATAATGGTTAATTTGTTACACAAAAGCATTACAACCTAGTCTGAAATTAATGGAGAATTAGGGGTGTTTCTTAGAATTAGTTCATTTTGCTTAACTAGTTTTGTGTTTTTGCATAGGTAAGGACCTAAGTGCATTACTGCTGGAAAAGAGGGGCTTTAGGAACAAAAATTAGGCTGCTGAAATCAAATTTGCTGAGCTAGTCAAAGATATCTCTAAGACACAATTTAATGAGTGTGTCCCATCCAAGGGCATGCTTGTCCCCTTGGTTAGACTCCCAACCGCCCATGATGATCAATGTTGCACCTGATACCAGTGCTAGAGCAGGGCAAGAGACCAGTCAATTCTCGGATTCAAGACACAATGCATTGGGAGGAATAAATAATTCACAAGCATGGGGAGGCTATCTTGGAAGAAGAACCGGTTTCAAAACTCTATAAAAGGAGTTGCATTCCAAGCATGAAGGGACATCTGAGTGGACATACAACACACAAAAACACCACAGAGAGAGAAGAAGAGAGCAGAGAGGGGAGAAAACTCCAAAGGAAGAAGAAGTCCAGTAGCAAAAAAAGAGGAGTAACAGACCTCACTCGCCTAAGTGACCTTTGTCACTCAGGCGAGTAACTTGTTGCTCAGCCATCCAGATTTGCTTCTTCTCAATGCTTTCCTTCTTTTCTTGTATTTTCTATAGTTTGTATGTGTAGTTAATTAGATTTCATTCTCTGGAACCTATGTAGTTTAAGTCTGTGAATGCATTCGGATGATTTTGTGTTTTGAAGTTAAAGCTTTCATCTACCTATTGATTAAATTGGCCATTTGATTGATTGTGTACAGAACTAAGTGAATACCGGAGGGTATTCAAGGTTCAGAATCATTTAGCTACAACTTATGACTTGGAGGTAACAGTCCAAGGTTCTAATTGAGATAGGAATATACTTGGTTAGCATAAGCATTTATATAAGGCTTGAAAATTTAATGACTTTATGACTTGATTAATCATTGGAAAATAGTTTAATTGAGTTCATAAAGATACCTCTAGGAAAAATCAGAAGTGACTTAGAGATATATAAGTGCCTGAATGAGCATGAATTCATACCAAAAGAGTGCAAGATTACAACTTGATTACATAGGGAAAAGAGAATGAATATCCAGTTTGTTGTGTCAGTCCCTTGAGTTGGAATTCTCACTCCCGTGAGTGAGGTTTCATTTGTCTTTGTTTGTTTTTAGTTCTGTAGAGCCACTTGTGTGAGTGATTTTACCACTCGTGCAAGGGAGTGACACTCTGCAACTATTGTTTTCTTGTTTGTTTTATTTGAAGTTTAACTCATCCCTGTGGTATCGACCCGACTTATCCTATCTATAGTTTAAGTTGGTAATTTATTTTGGGGGCTTCGACAACCCACCAAAAGGTATTTGTTTTTTAAAGCATATGTTATTACTTTTTAATTGTACACCCATTACAAAGCTCTCACGTCTAACTCTTTAAGATAAGACACTATATGATAATCTTCCTTGCATTTTTACTTACATTTTTTTTAATGGACACAAGGTATTTAAAAACATTGAAATCATATGTCCGAAATAAAAGCAGGCCTGAAGGTTCAATTGGGCACGGGTATCTTGCTGCAGAATGCTTGACATTCTGCTTATTGTACATAGCGGATTATGTGGAATCGAAATTCAATAGGACATCTCAGAATGAGAGCTTATCTACTACGGCTATAAGTGGATTAAATGTCTTTAATGTGCAAGGTTATGCTCTTGGAAAAGGAACACCGAAGATATTAGATGGTAAAATGCTTAAAAAGGCACATCGATATGTCTTGTTCAATTGTGATAAGTTAAAATCATGTCTTGAGTAAGTCATTTATTTGAATTTCATTTTAAACACCTTTAAGTTAGATATTCTAACTTAACTGATATGACGTGTTTTTTGAATGTGTAGGCTACATCGTAGCATGGTAGCAGAAAACCATAGTCATGCTCAGCCTCATGAAGTAGAATGCATTCATAGTGAGGAATTTGCCACCTGGTTTGGCAATAATGTAAGTTTGGCTCAACGCTGATTATTATTCTTTCTTACTAAAAGTGATTAACTCAGAGTTTTTGCTTTACAAATTTATTTTGTGTTATTTTTTTCAATACATCTTGGGTTTTTCTTTGTTTTCTTTTCTTTTGTAGGTTGAGTCTTTGGATTTTCCAGAAAAGGAAAAGATTTTTGAAGGATTGAAATTGCTTGCCAGAGGCCCAGAAGATGTCGGCCGTACTTTTGAAAAATTTGTAGTAAACGGCTTTAGGTTTCATACTAAAGAGGTGGAAGAAGAACGAAAAACACAAAATAGTGGAGTTATGATTAGTGTAATGACATCAAGTTTTTCTAGTAAAAGAGGCCAAAATCCCCTATTAAGTGAGCTTGACTATTATGGAGTTTTGACTTCTATAATTGAGTTGAATTATGGTGGCCGTAGGGTTTTCTTTTTTAAATGTGATTGGGTCTCAAAAGGAAAGCGATTGAAAAAGGATGGTGATGGTTTCTTGTTGGCTAATTTTGAAAATGTTAGCCGTCATAATGAGCCGTTCATTTTAGCTTTTCAAGCCGGGCAAGTTTTTTATGTTGCTGATCTTCTAGATAAAAAAGGTTGGAATGTTGTCGTTCCTACTTCTGCTAGAGGACATTATGACATGCAAACTGTTGCAGATGTTGAAAGTTACTTACAGAGCAATATCTGTGATCCTGTGGTTGATGATGAGAATACAGATGTGATATTGACTCGTGAAGATGTTGAAGGAGATGAAATGTTCTTACCTACGGGTAATCACCGTGGTTTTTTTTTTTTTTTCTGAGATCCTGTTGTTCTAAGATTGGGTGTATGAAACTGACATTTTTATGCCATTGTGGTTATTGTAGTAGAAAGGGCAACAACCTCCAGGGAGAAGTGACACCCACAATGTGTTCCAATTCTTCAAAGTCTTGATTCATTGATGTAAGTGAACCTCAAATCCATGTCCTCATTAATTTAATTCTGGTTGCCTTATCTGGAATGACCTGCTGATTGAATTGCTTATATGTTTATATATTGTTTAATTACAGCGAATAATTGATTTATTCGGGAACTTCTATGTTTGTAGGTGCTGAATATGTGCCTAATCGTGTTCTGAGTGCGCCGATGAAATTGATATGCTAAATTTGAAGCTTCCATGCAATTTGGGTAATTTGTGTCAAATTTCAACAAGATCGTAGTGATTCCATGTCTCTTTGACATTTGAACTGTTTTGAGATTTTGAAAATAATAGCAATATGCAACTTTATCTTAGTTCTATATATCATATTGTTGTTGGTGTCAAGTAAATGAAAATATTCAACAAGTGTTTCACTTCTGAGTTCTCTGTTCTTTGGACGCGTCGACATAAATAAAAATCTTATGTGAAACAATACAAAATTTTTAGTAGGTAAACGAGGGAAAAGGGTAAGAAATGCCGAAAGGGAAAAGGGATTCTCTAGTTTTCGGGAAGGAGACACAATCCTTAGTAGTAAGGAATTTGACAGATATTCGTCAAAAGAGTACATGGTAGAAGAACCATTAATTGCATCAGATTCCGCGACAATATCTTAAACACACTTGATTAAAGACACGAGGTTCCCTTGTTCAGGATCTTCGTTGCCTCCTTTCCTGTCGAAAGAGCTCAATATTCAGGACTGCAGGCCATAAACAAATGGACAGAAATTTTGCATCACATTTCCTACTATGCATAAAAGAAGTAAAAACCACATACTCAATCCCTAATTGTTGGGGTGCTTGACTTTAGGGTGTTTCAAACCCAAAACCGTGGGAGAAAATGTTTCTAGGGTTTAGGAAGTAGATATTTCTAATCTTCTCGCGCTTTGAAAACGCGAAAACACATATTCAACATTAAAATTTCGTGTTTCACAAACGCTAAAGTAATTAATTAATTTTTTAAAATATTATTCCAGAAAAACAATGAAGGAAAAAAATAGAATAAATTGGGACAAAATATTACCATTTTGAAAACGCAAATACGTAATTTCGCGTTTTCAAAACACATAAAAACATAAATACCATTAAAAATTTCATGTTTTAGATATGCTAAATTTGTTGATTAATTTTTTAATATATTCATCCGGGAAAAAAAAAGAAAGAAAAATAAATGACATTAATTGACAAAAAAAAAAATCAATCTTCGCGTTTCAAAAACGCTAAAACAACATTTGCGTTTTGCAAACGGGAATTCATGAATTCTTGGCGAGTGTTTTGGGGTGGATTAATTAGGCTTTTGGGGGTTGGTTTTGGAGGGGTTGGGTTCCGGGGTGGGCTTTGGGTTCTGGGTTACCGGGTGGGTAAAGATTTTGGGTTTTGGAATGGGTTGGGTTTACGGGGGTTGGGTTTTGGGTTTTAGGTTTAGGAGTGAGTTGGGTTCAGGGGGGTTGGGTTTTGTGATTATTACTAACTAGACACCCTAATATTTATAAAATGACACCCTTTTACTTTTTTTTCTTATTTGAACCACGTATGATTGAAATTTTTTTTCAATTACACCCTTAATAATAATTTTATTATTTCAATTTTAACCCAAATAGTATAGTATTTTACACAATTTTGAATCTGTACTCTCTCGGTCCCAAAATGACGTTTCACTTTAGTGTCAATGACATTAAATAAAAATCATTTCAAAATAATAATGTGATTAGTGAACACTGATAAAAATAATTAACATTGTACTACTTAGTTTGACTTGAACGACATTATTTATGGACCAAATTTGTTCTTTTTACATATATACTAGTTAGTTTTACTTAATTATAAACTGTTATTGGTCAAACTTTTTGTTTTTTTATCAAATTTGTACTTTTTACATATGTACTACTTAATTTTACTTTAATTAATGAAATCTATTATTGATCAAATTTGTTGTGTTTACCTATCAGATACTTAGTTTGAGTTAAACAGAACATGTTATTGATCAAATTTGTTCTTTTTACATACGTACTACCTAGTATTACTTAAATTCAACTTATTTTATTTAGCATCATAATTTTTGGGGAAGGTATATTATAAAGATGTAAATCGGAATAATCAACAAATCTGATCTCCCGCTTCACAAAAAAAAAATCATGTTACAAATCAGATCCCATCGACAAAAATGACCAAATTACCCCTAATGTGCAGGAGTTCGGGACTTGGACTCCAGTATAATGGACTGGATATTTATGTCTTTTTGGTCCTACGACTGATTTTTGTGAAGTTATTTAACCCACAAATTATACGTGTTTCAGAAATCCAGAATTCTGATGATTCTGTGGATTTAACCAACAAATTATTCTTGGTGGACAAAACAAAAACATCAAGGAACAAATCCCTAAAATATTAATATTTAAAAAAAAATAAAATATATATATATATATATCTATAAATTGATGAGAAGTCCTTTCATTAAATATCTTCCTTGTTTCATGTAATGTATCATAGTTTTGATGGATTGAAAAACAAACTTATAGCTTGTCTATAAACCTGATTAAAACATGACTAAAAATTCATGAACGTGTCTAGTTTTGAAAACCTATTCGAGTTGTTATTTTGAAGGATCTGACTCTCCTAGTCTCTAAGGTTTTTCAGTGAATCCTTTTAGTGAAACATCTGTTTATTTATTCTATGTTGTGTTAAATTTAACTGATATTGGAAAGGACTAATGGGACTTCCTTGGACATGGTCTTTTTGCTAGTTTAGTTATGAGAATTCAGAAACAGTACCTTTGTAGTTTCTTTTCATTTGTTGGACCTTAAACTCCTCCCTTACGATTGCTTTCTTTGTTTTTTTTCCTGTTCATAAAGGGTATATGGTGTAGCACATAGGCTAGTTGGCATTAAGTTAATAATCACATGTAAAAGGGGCACTGTTATTGTTAACACTTCATGTATTGATATGTAAATATGTATATGACCTTATTTATATGAATCATATGCAGGCACGATTTGATATCACCCTTGCATCTGAAGAATGGATATTCAGCCACATTTCCCATTGCTGGAGAAACTGGAAGAATGACTTGAAGACAAAATTTTGTTCCTGATGTTCCCGCGGAAGATTTGTTTGCCAATATAAAACAAAAGAAAGAAAAAAGAGTTGACTTGTGCCAATGGATCAGTATTGTTGAATATTGGAATAAAGAGAAAACAAAGGTGAGTGGTTTATCTTATGATTCTTGGTGTTGTATATGTAATGTTTAATATAATTAATGTTTGTATAAGTATTGGTTTTGTCTTACTTTTAGGAAAGAAGTGAGATGAATAGAAAAGCGAGGATGGAGAAAGAGTTGGATCATTGCACTGGCCGGACACCGTTTGCACAAAAAGAACATGAATTGGTATGTTTCTTACACCTCATTATCCAATATGATTGCTTTTTCTTGATTGCAACTTTTAATTTGACAGCAAGAGCAGAACGAGGGATGTAAGCCAAATCCTGTTCAGATGTTTGATGCGAGCCATAATTCTCGGAAGGGATCTAAATCAATTGTTGTCGTTGATTATTTGGTGGGTTTTCATTATTTATATTTATAAGTCTTAGTATAATTTGCCTTGAAATCCGTATCGTTATTTAAGTATAATATCATATTATATTAGTAATCAAGATTATTTACTTTTGTTATTGTTACATAGTGTTGGCTCAAATTATAGATTACCTAGTTGTTATCGTGTAGGCTACATTCTAGCAAAAAATTGATGAACTCCCGGAAGGCTCAAAAGATCCAGTTGGTCAAAATGATATATTTGCCCAGGTTATGGGGCCTGACAAACCTGGCCGAGTTAGAATGTTTGGTCAAGGTGTTACTCCATCAGATGTGTGGGGGGAGGTTCCTAAGCGAAAAACGTATAGGCGCATAATTCTTGAACAACGAGCAAAGTTAATAAATATCACTGGTAGACTTGAAGAGTTAGAGGGAAAAGCTTCAGAATCAAGGAGTCATGCTTTACAAGATGAATCTCAACATAATTCACCATCAAGTCCAATTCCATCTCTTCCGTCTTTTCAGGTACATTTTATCTATCTTTACCTAAGTCACTATCATTTACTTAGATGAAATGTAAATGAAGTGCATTATATAGGATACAAGAAAATGAGTACATATACAATGGTATCACGGGTGAATGTAGCTCCATTGATGTTAACTTTACAAGCATAATTTCTTATTTGCTGGTTTCATGTAAGGTGGTGTTATGGAACATGCTATTTTAGAGATATTTATTGTGATTGTGCATTGTTGCGATGTTGATTTGTGTTTTTGGTTAAATGGTAAATAAAAGTCATACGTGAGCAGGAATTTGTTACTCCTATGGTACTTTATTTCAAGACGCGAACATTAGGTGTTACATTATTTAGTTCAGTTGGGTGTCATGAAATTTTAGTTATGAATTGTTTTTTTGAGAAACAATTTCTTTGTTATTTTCAACTCTTTCCTTGATTAAATTTTGGTAAACTTCCTATTCGTTTATTCTAGTGTGTAATAGTTGGGATGAATTGTAAGTTTAGCAACTCGGACATTTGTTTTGATTTCAAATCCTTGATTTTATGCAATTGCTCATTGTCCCTATTTTAGTTTAATCATTTTTTCATTAACACTGTATTCTAGGTTGATCAATATGTTTATCTCAAAACCTTTGCCGATCCATTAAAGCCAGTTGCAAAAGGACGTATTGAGAGTTTAGATCCAAGTGCAGAAGTCGGCGGACTTCCAATAGGAGTTAATTGGTGTCAAGTTTATATTGAAGTGATTATTGTTCCTGATGCACCATTGATTCGAGGTTATAATCATTACGTAAGTGTTCAAGATGCACACGGTGATTTGGTTACTTGGCCACTCTATTTGGTGAGTATGATAAGACTTTCAAAAGTCAAAATAAAGAAGGAGCCCAATCTGATTTTCTGCATTTTCAGAAAGCAACCAGTGAACTCATCTTGTTTTGATCAAATTTTGAACGATCCATAAAGCCGTGTAGCAAACCATAAAAGTCAAAATAGACCTGAGTACCTCGGATAGAGTTTGATTGAAAGATATGTACAAGGACCATAAAACATGATAATCGGCACCTCACAGCTTCCACAATTGCTTAAAACATGAAAATGTCAGTGGCATGCATTATCAGGGACAACAAGGGAAGATTTTTGAAAGCCTTTCAAGAGAGAATAGGCTATTGCCCAGTTTAAAGGGCTGAACTAAAAGAAATTCTACAGAGCATGAGAATTGCTAATAAGCAGTTAGGTCACTCAAATGTAATTTTTGAGTCTGACTCACTGGTAGCTGTGGAAGGGATCCGGAGCATGGTTGCAGAAGCTCGGGAGAATACATGGCTAAACGAGATCCAAGAGATCCTTGTCTCAGAAAAGGAATCCATGATAGAACATACCTTCCGAGACAATAATTTTTGCCCGATTCGTTAGCCAAATCGGCTCTAGGTTTTAGTGTAGAAGAACGACGCTTGCTAAGTGAAAGAGTCCCTAATAGCATTAGGATATTGTTGCAAGACGATGCTAGAAGCATTTTGGATGTAAATTAGTCGCCCGTTTGAAGCAATTTGTTCACCAAAGAAAAAAAAAAAGGCAACTGGAAAGTGGCAGACAACTTTTCCGATAGTTAAGTAAAATAGTTTTTGATGTGTCAATTTTAACAAATAATTTTTAAACATTTTTATCTAGTAAACAACCTGCTTAACAGGTTTTACTTAATTTTTCAAAATATTTATTTTAATAAAATTTATTTTGAAATATGTTAGCATGTTACTCACCACATGAATAAATTTTGTACCCTTAATTCTGATTGCTTGAAAAAAATACGGGACGGTTCCGTATAAATGAGCTACAGGACTCTAGAAAATCCCATATATATATATATATATATATATATATATATATATAAAAACTTTTACATGGAAACAACATGTAGAAATAAGTATTAGAAAAGAAAGAAGAAACAAGTGAGTGATTTAAGATAGTAGTTTACATAGGTGATTGAATTTGTAAGGTGATCTTATAATTTATATCTTTTGAGTAGTTTTGCATCTTATAGTTAGTGGTAAACTATGATCAACATAAATGGTTTAATCCTTCCATTTATCTGAGTAGCAAAACTTTCATTGATTCTGTTTTTCTTTTCAGTTCAAGTTGCGATTTCAAATTTGCGAAATAGACAATTTACCTGGAAAGATTCGGTTTGATTTTTAACCTTTGGGGTTTAAGTGGGTTAAACTCTTTAAATTCCCACACTACAGTGTCATATATGTGAAGATCAAAGTTCCTGAATTTGGATCTGTAATACTATCTCTGTCCCACAAAAATTGTTCACATTGAGTTTTCAAATTTGTACTAAAAACAGTACAAAACTCAAAACTCAATGTGGACTATTTTTGTGGGACGGAGGGAGTATTATATTTTCATAATCAAAAGCAAACAAGGATATTTATTTACTGCAACCTTTGCTTGTACTCTCATGGGTTGCTTTAATATCGAAATTAAGGAAAAAAAAGTATATAGAGAAATTTTCTATTTTTTTGGTTGGGCATTTCTTAATTGTCATTCATAGAAAATATAGATGCTGTTATACTACAGCAAAATAGTATATTTTCAAATATAAAAGAATGATAGTGTTTTCTGGAAAATTATAAACTTTTGTATTTAACCAAGCATTAAGGGACTCTTGTTTGGTTTCAGAGATTAAGATTATCATGTTATGCTAGACGACATACTTCTCTCCCATCTTGTTCAATTTGATTTACATTAGCTCCGTCTCTTTTTTCTTTTTCTTTTTTTTTTTTAATTTAGTGTAGATATAATCACTTTCTTTAATCAATAATGAGCATTACTCGAGTTTATTGCTTGCTTTGGCTCCCCTTTCTTTTGGTACCTGAGGTTCAGTGACTTCGTTTTATGACAGGTTGGTCCTCTTCGAATTCGTTTCTCGGACAAATTATAACTCCATTTAGAAATTCATCAAAACCACAATAATCCTCATCAAAAGTAGAAGATATTTGTCAAAGAAATCTCTTAAAACGGTTCAAGAAAAGCGAGAAAAAAATCTCTGAAAACAGTTACAAAAATCAGAATCATAGTGACTAGTTTGCCATTTTTCACATTGAGTTGTTGGGAAAACCACAGATGGTTTTTGTTTCTATTTACAAGTATTTTATTGTCAATAATAGTTTTGATATTTAGTTGTAGAATCGGCCTTATTAGTAAGGCTCTGACCAAAAGCACTTCCTCTTGCTTTCTTGTTTCTATTGTTCCGTTCTATACTAGGTTTCATTAATCTCACCTTTTTCAAACTTTACATTACTAAATTTTAACTTAACTTCCAAAGACAATATCTACCTAGATTATACTCACTTCCTTCCAAAATATATATCGTTGGAGGAAAACTAATTTTTTTCAAAATAGATGTCGTTTTCGGATATCTAGGGATATTTTGTCAATTTCTTTCGACATTGCCCCTACATGGGAAATTATAATTGTATTTAAAATAGAAGTGTATTAGAACCAAATGATATTGAGAATAGAATTGTATTGAGAATAAATGAGGGTAGTTTGGTATTTTAATCAAATATTTATTGTCTCCTTAAACTTTGTGAAACTCCTCCAGCGACATATATTTTGGAATAGAGGGAGTACCTTCCAATCTCTAATGTTTTATGCTTCAATCCAGAAACACTCAAAATCTTAGTCATGACTAAAATTGGAAGAAAGGATGCATAACAAGACCAATAGAATATAACTTTTAAACCTAGGCACTATCACAAAGGAACAAGAAAATATAGCCCAAGTTAAATCTTAAAGTGAACCTCAAAACGGGTCCTTGAACTATTAGGTAATTCTATTTCAGGTCATCAATCAAATTTATTTGTATAACAGATCACCTTTCTAAGCAAAAAAGTCATTCGAGATAATCTGTTAATTTTGACCGTTAAATAGTGACGGAGATCTATTTTTCACATGCTTTTGGATTCAGGGGTATTTTTGTCATTTTGTTATTTTTAAATTTTTATATTTATTTTGAAAAAAATTGTTTTTTTTAATTTCTTTTAATAACTGTTCTTCTTATACTTCCTAACTTGTATATACTGGTAGTATAATTCTAAATTTCAAAAATTCATTTTACTTTTCTATTTTAACTTCTAGATTATAAAATTTAAAAAAAAAATTTAAGAAATAAAGAAGAAAAATTCGAGTTAAAGTAAACATGAAAATTAATAGTTTACCATTTTAAAATAAAATAAAAACTAAAATAATTAGCTAAGAAAAATTTTTTCTTCTAGGTTATATCATTATTTTCAACTCGATTTAATCATTTAATAATTAATTTTCATGTTTACTTCAACTTGACTTTCTCTGCTTTATATTTTTATAAACTAGACGTTAAAATTCAAATGACAAATTAATTTATGAAATTTAATAATGATACTAGTACTAACATATACAAGTGAGGAAGCAAAAGAAGAAAAATCGTAAAAAAAAATTAGTTAAAATATTAATATTTAAAAATATATATATTTATAAATTGATGAAATTTCCACTGGACCCAAAAGCAAGTGAAAAATAGCTTTCTGTCACGATTTAACTCCCAGAATAACCTAGGGGAAACAACTTCTCATGAGTGAAATTGTAATACACTAAAATATTTTAATTTTTTTTATTTGAGCTAATATTTTATTTTTTTGTGGAATATTAGTTTCATTTAAATGTTTTTAATCCTTATGTTAGGAAGAATAAAATAAATCAGAAAAATAGTGTCTTTATTGCTAAACTATATTATTAAAAAAATTAACAAACTTATATAAATACAATCATTGGTTACAACTATACAAAGATTAATTTTTACAGTAGAGTTTGAAAATAAATAAATATTTTTTTAAAACTCATATAATAGACTTTTATGGTCATTAAAAGTAGTAAAGAGAACTGGAACAAGATAGAGAAAAATAAAATAAAAAAGTAAAAAGGGACTGTTTTGTTATTTTTATATATTTTAGGGTTATTTTTTAAATTTTTAAAAATTATTAGGGTATTTTTGTAATTAAATTTATTATTTTATTAAAAAACTAACGGAGATCCGTTAATTTAGACGAAAAATGGACCGATTGGACGAAATTGGCAAAAATTTCAAACATTAGGGTAAAGTTGGCTAACCGAAAATCTATTGGGTATAATTAACGACAAAAACAAAACTTTAAGTACGAACGACATTTTTTCCTAACATATCCGATGAGTTTGCCAAAATATGTATTCCAAAAGACATTCCAAGACCTTTGTTTGCTAAAGGTGGACTACTCCATTACATTCTCTAAAAGATATAAAGACGAAAATAAGATGCTTTAGTGTACAATAAATAGGGTATACGAAGCTAGTGGAACCTCCCATCCACCATTTAGTTGTAAAAACTTTAACTAGGCCCGGGTAACTCTTATGCCCGGGCGGCTCTAATGTTTTCATTTACATTAATTACATTATTAATAATCAATTATTATAAAATAAAAGCCCCGCTTCAAGTATAATTGCTCTGTAGATTAGTAACTATAGATCAATACAATCCAAAAGGAAAGCATGGTTACTTTCGGGAGGAAGCTCCCGCATAAAATACATTTTAAGTCACAAAATAAACAGAATTTCCAAGTATGCTCAAATCAGGAAATTGGACAGAAAAAACGTGATTCTAAAGATTTTAGTTTCAGAATGTCTAATACTTTTAATAGTGACCTGAATCACTTTAATAGTTGATATATGTGGTTATTTACCAGTAACTTTTTTTGGAGCATGAATAACTAAAACAAAATCTCAATTCGACGTAGTAATTAAACTCTATGACTTCTGTCCTCTAATAAATTAACCAGACCATTATAAAGATTGAAAAAAGAATGTCAGTATATATAAGCTTAAAACCAAAAGAAGAAATTTATTCAGTTTTATTACTGCAACTTCTCAGATTTACGTACTTTATCCACTGCAATTTCTTTCACTTATGTCTCCTTTAACCATCTTTGACTCTTTTCTTCCTTCAACCATTCTATCCATCCTTCAGCTTCAAGCTTTCATTGCTTCCAATAATAATCTGGGAGGTAGCATCCCTGATTGATTCCAGAATTGTCCATCTTTATCACCTTCAAGCCAGGTTTGAAATGATAGCACCGTTATGAATGAGTTTGACGAAGCTAACTTCTTTCTTCACATAATAACCTTCATAAAATGCAACAAATCAATTTCACAGCTTGAGGTCAGTGGTCCAAATATAAACTAAAACCAATTAAGCAAAGAAATTAGCAATAGTGGCAGAGAGTAATTTACCATGTCTTTTATTATTATGCATGATGGCGAAGTCTGCAGCCCTCTTTACTCGTTCATAACATTCCTTGAATTATTGGAATATAGAAAGGCAGTTGTAATTATTTTTGTAGACAGTTAAAAAGAGATTAATTGGATATGCTTGCATACTATAATTCAGTCAGTGAAATTAAAAAAAATAAAAAAGACGATATCAAAAAAACTTTTTATATAAAAAAGATGATATCAAAACAACAAATAAATTTAACAAACTGTGTTCTTCACATGCAAATATTAAAGTTAATGTTTATTGGAATGAGATGTATGTTTTAAAATATCTTACCCAGAAGCCACCGTCACCAATTGAAGCAATAACGCGCTTCTCAAGTGCCGACTGAGAGTAGCCTAATGTGGCACTAACTGACCATCCAATCGACCCATATTGCATTTGGAATTCATACCTACAGTACCTCGAATTCTACTGCAGTTTTTACAGATTAAAAGAAAGGGTACCAAAACACAAAAACAATTCAATACTTACCCTCAGCTCTTAAGCACCAGCTGAAAACTAAAAACCTCATCATTATCATGTACTTCCTGGTCTTTCAAATGAAGTTGTTGCAACATGCTAAACTGTCCAATCGATCCCAGATATATCTACTAATGTACAGATTAGATAGCTTGAAAGGTCATCGCTCATTTTTCCTTCAACAAATAATCTTGTTAAGGAGTTAAAAACATACAAAATTTGAAACATGTATCAATCAAGATAATGGTCATGACTTGTACCATAAAGAACAACTTGAGCTCAGCATTAGCCAAAGAAATCCATCATGCATCTTTTAAAACATTCAGTACAGAGAGGTTCAAAGGCTTCCATTTGCTGTTTCTTGTTACCTGGAGGGCTAACATTTTCTTTTCAAAGGTTGTATCCGTAAGGTTTAGTGCAGCCTGTTCCAAAGGTTGTATCCAATTTGTTGCTCCTTCAGAACTGCGCTCTCCCCATAAAAATAACATTCATACATATGAATCCTAAGATATACGAAAGTTGCCCACCCTTATATCGTTCATGGAATTAATAGTCATTCAAACAACCGAAAGCAAAATCAAATCAGTAAAGAACAAAAAACTGATTTTCAAAAATATCAATATCACTTAACGAAATCTATCACAGATCACCATGTTCTCAAAATTCAGTCCTAAGCATACTTGAGCAACATAACCATATAAATCACACAGTCTGATTAGCTTCTTTTTGATGAAAAAATAATTCAGTAACCCAAAAATTTTAAAACTTTCATGTAGAATTCGATCAACCATTATTAAAGGGAAAGCCAATAATTCTTCGCTGTCAATTACAATTAACAATAAAAAAAAATACTACACCTTCTATAAAAAACCTCAAATCCATCCATCATTATTCAACAAACCGTTCTCTATTTTCTAACAAATCAAATAATCAAACCCAACAAAAGATTACCTTGAAAATCTTCGTAGATGCTACCCGTAACCCGATTTCGAATCTCCCATCGATGTAGCTCATCACTTGATTAAATATACCATCTTGCAATTTTCTTCTCCAACTCAATAATTTCAACAGGGCTGGGAATTCGATCTCAAAATTTACCAAAAAAAATAATAATTCGATCTTAAAAGATTTGTATGCAGGATTGCAAATGAAAGAGTGATTACCGAAAAGGACTTTGATGTCTCAATCGTAGTTGTCGCCAATCTGTCATCGCCGCTGTTGGGTCGGCGGGATTTACTTGAGGGTTGTTGATGTTACTGGATCTACTTTGAGGGCTGCTCATATCGGCTGGATCTTCTTTGTTGCTGTTTATTTCTTGTGTTATTACTTTGCCGTATTGAAGAAGAATTTTCCTTTTTCGATGATTGAGGATGATTGCCGGCCCTATTGAGGATGATAATTGCGGTCTACAACATGATTAAATGTCCTTCAAAACCGAAGAACAATATTGTGGGGTTGTTGATGTTTCGATGTTGTCATCTTCTAGGTGATATGATCGGCCTAAACAATCCACAGACAGAGAAGATTGCAGAACATATATGATCCTCAGTTGTTTGAAATTGAAATTAGGGATTGTGATTGATGGAGCTATTTTAGGGAAGGATTAGCACGCGTTCATTTTGAGTAATTGAGTTGCACGAAGTCAGGATTTAAAATTTACCTTCTTTTAATGTAAATTGGGCTATTTTCTTTAATTTTAGAAATTGTGATTTGTGGAGCCATTCTGTTGACGAATTTATCACAAATAACTATAATAGTATACTCCCTTAAATTGAGAAATTATGTGCTTTTTTACCCTGAATAAATATTTTCAAAATTCAAATCATTTGTAATAAACACATACTGTAGAACATAGGGTGCATTATTACAGTCGTAATTTTTCTTGAGCATAAAAGAAGCCACGTGTCAAATTTATATATCTTCATTTTTGTACTGTAGAAGGGTTGATGAGTTTTGGAGGGAAAATTTTCATTCTGGTACTAACATGTGTCCAAAATGTTTGTTACTTTAAGTAAGTACACTAGATTATATCGTGATTATTATTAAAATTGTGTAAAAGTGTATATGAAAAATGTGTTCCTTCCATTGTGAAAGAATTGTTGCATTTAAATTTTCATTATTTTTTTCTAATTTAAAATTGTACTAAGTTGAAACGGAACAATCAATTTGGACTAAGAAATAAGTTTTGAGATTGGAGGGTGTTTTTCCAAGTAATTTTGTGAGGCAGAAGTTTGGAAGTAATTCTGAGAAATTGTTTTCTCTGGTTTGGCTTCCCAAGGAAGGAGGAATCTTTGATTAGCTAAAAACACGACAAAAGTCCTAGGAACAGTTGACCCAAATTCTATCCACAACTCAGGTCTCGCTCTTTTCCCGCTTTCTCCGTACGGAAATATACTTCGTGATCTTCGGAAATGAATTAAAAATTTCATTAAAACATAGCTTCAACAGTTGTACATTTACAGAAAGGTACAACCATTTGATGCACTGGTCCACCGAAATTAATAAACAACTGACCACAGCCCATAATTCCCCCCCTCTCCTCTTCTTCCTCTTCAGTCTTCACACAAACAGAGCAGAGAGATCAGAACCTGTGTGTGAATTTTTTTTTCAACAACAAAAAAAACAATCAAACAAAAGCCATGGAGATCAACATCGTAGATCACGAACTCCCCAACGATTCCCACAACTACTACGACGTCTACTTCTACGACGACCGGGTCAACACCCTGGTGACCCACGACCCCGACGTGCTCTCCAACTGGCTCTTCCGCCTCCAGAAAATCCACGGCCAGCGCCTCGGCAACCTCATCGTCGGCCTCGACGTCGAGTGGCGTCCCAATTTCAACCGGAACCAGGATAACCCCATCGCCACTCTCCAACTCTGCGTCGGCCGGCGTTGCGTCGTCTTCCAGATCCTCCACTGTTCCAGGGAGTGCCAGATCCCCGACGATCTGAAATATTTCCTCGCCGAACCGGATTTTACTTTCGTCGGTGTTGGGATCGCCGGCGATGTGGAGAAACTTGCGTATGACTACGGGTTGTCTGTGGGTGGGAGGATTGTTGATTTGAGGGATTTGGCTGCGGATCGGTATGGTAATAAGGCGTTTAAGAACGTGGGTCTCAAGGATTTGGCGAGCGCGGTTCTTGGCCGGGTTGTGGAGAAGCCGAAGAGCGTGACTATGGGGAGGTGGGATAATCGCTGGTTGACTCCTCTGCAGGTTCAGTATGCTTGTGTTGATGCCTTCGCTTCCTTCGAGATTGGCCGCAGTTTGGAAGCCGATGACTACTGAAGAATTTGGTCTGGCTGGTAGTGGAAAAATAAAAGGTTGTTTAACTCTGAATTTTGAATTTGGCATTTTTATCTAGTCTGATCTGGAAGATGTTATATATATGTAGTGCTCTTGGTAGGCGTTTTAGGATTTTGAGGGCTTTTTGCGTGAAGCCTGCTCTGGTAATTTGGGGGGTTTTGTTCATATTGATCTGAATCGTGATTAGATTGTTGAAGGGTTTTTTCATGGCTGTTGGCCCAATCTGACCTTAAATTGAAAGCTATTGAATGTTAAATATGCATGGTTAACTTGGAATTGTTTATGTGAATTTTGTCGAATTTAAGCAAATTGCAACATATGATCCACATGTACAAAGCACTAGATGCTTGGCTTTGTATATTGTGTTAACCGGGAACCATAACAGTGTGTATTCTGTTGTGAAACATTGTATTTGCTTGTCTTGGTTTCTGTTTTCAGAGTGAAGATGGTGTGCTGCGTTGTTTAGTTTATTCTACATTTGATGATGAAGCTTTGATATAACATTGATGAGTCTTGTTCATTTGTTGTGCTCGTTGATAGTCATTTTTCGGATGGTAACGAGGTCTACATGGGGTTGGTGGTCAAAGGTCTTCATGTGTCTTTTTGAGGACTCATAAGACTCTTATGGATGGGCTATTGCTCTCCTCTTCCCAAAGTAAGACACTCTTGTTGGGATCCCAATACCTATTGAACACCTTACATTTTGAATAGGTTAGGTTCCTTTGAGTGAAGCTATATGTGGTAGAATTTCCCTCCATTTTGTAGTTTGTTTACATTATTATTATTATCGTAATAATACAAACTAAAATAGATTTTTATTTTTATTTCTTTTAAAAAAGATAAAATTTAGATACTCGGCCTAACTCATTTCTGTTTGGTACTGATATATAAAGAATTTTAATGCTGTTGTTTTTATTCTAACATAAACATAGAATGAGAGGTTTCTTTTGACTGCAGAATAATTAAAATGGAACGTTTATGGTGGAATACCTCTACGCAAGAATGAGTAATTTAGATTTTAGAATACTTAAGCCGTTATTAGTGTGTGTCCACAATAATAAGAAACTAGGTTGATGATATTACCAGGTCAATAATTAGCTTCCAAAGTAAAAAATGTTATTTTTTTCCAAAATATCCTTGTTAAGTAAAAAACAAAAAAAAAAAAAACAAATTGTACGACTGTCCTCTCTACCCATTGCAATCTTTTATGTATCATGCCGCTCCGAATTCTTCTTGCACAAATTTATCATATTATCCTCCTTACCATCATCACCGAGCACAAAACCCTTCCACTCTGGGATTAATTTTCAACTTTTGTCTTCCCATGTTCATCCATAAAAATCTAAGACGGTCAAACTCCCAACAATTCAATGTTTGTTTAAGGGATACCGAATATAAAATGCTGCTGTTTGATTCGTGTCAAAAGCCATATATAATTGGCAATTAGTCTGTGGAGAATAACAAACTGGCCGGGAAGCTTGATGGGCTTATACAAATCAAAAAAAAAAAAAAAAAGACAAAAAAAACATATATAGGAAAGGGAGGCTTCGTATAAAAAAGGAACATGTGATAACCAAGGAGGCCGTTTATGTGCCCGACCGGAAATTATTTTCTTTGTTGTTTATATGAAATTGTTGACTGTGAGAGGTTCATGGAATAGCAAGGATGATTATTATTGATGTAATTGCCAGTTTTCTTGAGAATTATGGCTTCAAAATAATATCGGAAATAATTTCGAAAAGTTAAAAGAAAAGTCATCCGTGCACTCTTTGAAGTTGGAACGTTCCCTTTAATGTCGGGCTGATTATCGATCTCTAGCATTGGGATAGAGTTAGACGGAATAACTGGCAGCTTAATCTGGGTATACTTTTATGGAGTAATTAAGGTGAGTTTGTTTGACTGAGAAAGGGTACTTTGGGAAAAAAATGACATTTTCTGTCCTGGAGGCTAATTATAGCTCTGACGATATCAATGGCCTGAGAAGAAACTACACAGGGTACGGAATTGACTAATATCTATTGTTTTCATATAAACAAAAAAAAAAAAAAGTTGAGGAAATGAAAATTTTACGAGTTTGTTTCGTTTTACATAAAAACAAATGATGTTTCATGAAATCAATTTACATATATACAAACTATAGTTGTCATATACAAATTAAAAATGGCCATTAAGTGAAAAAAACAAAAACATTGATTTCCAAAGCTCGCCACTGCTGATTGAAGTAAAAGTTACAACTCATGAAAAAAGTCATATTCAGATTCTAATGTTTCGTGGGTATAGTTGAAATTGGTACATTAGAGCTGGTTCATAATTTCGCAGAGATTTAAAAGGAATCAATCAACTTCCAAAGGCTTAAATTTCGGAGTTCTTGATATTGTAGCTTCTACTTTTTTGAAAACCAACAGCCGATTCTAACTAGAGAAAAAGCAAAAATCGGTTCATCATCAAATAACAAGTTTGTCCATATTCATTCTATTAAAACAATCTCAATGTTGTATTATATCGTAAAATGTTATTACAATATAGTGAATTTGACATAACAAAACTTCTCCAAAACCAAAATTATTAAACTAAATATTTTCTGTCTTTTAATATTTCAGTACATTGAAATTTTTCTCAATGTTGTTTATGTTATCAATAATAATCAACAATAAAATATTTTCCCCCCTCTAATATTCCAGTACATTAATTATTAATCTTTTGAACTAAAAATGAAAATTCAAACATGACAATAATTATAGGACGGAGGGAGTATTTTCTATCTTTCATATTATCATCAATAATGAATTTTCCAAAATAGTAATGAACAAAATTTGTGTACACCCGATAACAAACTAAATACACCAGGTTATTTATAGGGTGTATAGTATATCGCATGACAAATGCTCAAATACTAGTAGCGACAGAAGAAAATATACTATTACACTCAAGGTGCGTTCTTTGTGCTGTAAAGCGAATGGTGTCAATTCATTAAAGAAATTTACAATTTTCTTTACAATGTTTAGAAATATTAAACAATCGTAATCATATTCCCATTACATTGTTTTTTTTTTCTCAAAAACAGTGAAAATGGAAAAAAAATAATACTTTTTCAATAAATATAAAATTTTTTATTTTTTTTAGAAGACAATAAAAAAGGTGGGAGAATTGGGGCGGGAGTATTTTGGGATGTGATAAAAGTTTTGGAAATTTTTATTTAGTTGATAATAAGATATCTTTAATAAATATAAAAGATGTAAAAAATTGCTTCAATCCCATCATCATATACCATATATTATTTGATTCCATGTCATTTATATTTTTACTGAACAATATAATAAAAGTAATCATAATAATATTTCGATACATCCATTTTCATTACCGCGCGCAAAGAACGCAGATACTATTTGACTTCCGTAAAAATCTTATTTATCAAACCAATTTAAATAGAATTGAGGTGGATGCCGTCTACATGCTAATCTCCAGCAGGCGGTAGCAAAAGGTAATTATATTTTTTTTGTTGGTTTAGTTTAATAGTATTTTTTTTGGACATTATATTTTAATAAATAATATTTTTTCTCCATTTGATTTTTAGATGAAGTTCTCTAATCATATATTTCGCAATCAACAGTTGCACAAAGACTATTTATTAATTAATTCACCAGGTTGGTCAACTTCCACAAAATCTAAAAAGAAAAAATAAAGTACTTTGTTGGTGTGTAGGTAATTTGAATGAGTAATGTTGCTACTGTCGTTCATGGAGTATAAGTGGAGTGTTACGATGGTAAAAAACAGTATACGCGAACTAAACCCTAACGGTTGTTGATATATTCATGTAATTAATAGGATTAATTTTCTCATATATTTCAACATGCCAATGTCGAGAACAACCTCCCTCCTAGGGTTCATGATTTTCTTCCGAAAGGATGTCACAAAACTAAACAAGCAAGGCCAAGAGCTATTTTTAATTTTTCTTAAATTTTTTTTAGCAAGAAACTAAATTCTTAAAATGTTTTCTGCTAGAGTTTGTTTGGAGGTTTTCATTTTGAACTGTTTTGGTACAAAAGCGGGTTTGAAATTTTAAGTGAGTATTTTCCCCAAACCACTAAAATTATATGAGTTCTTTAAGTCAATCCTAAATTCCTAATGACCTTTTCAAAAAAAAAAAAAAAAAGAGAGAGAAAAAAAGCCAATCCTAATCATGACATTGTTTAGGCAAGTGAAGAGATTTCCAATAAATAGTTTACTTCTTATCAAAAAAAAAAAAAGAGATTTCCAATTCGGACATAATCGAAGGGGTTTATTGTAAAGAATTTCCAAGAATTAGTACATACCTGCCTCAAAATAATCTGCTACAATACTGATATAAAAACTCTCTCCACACCGTTTGAATTCCATTTATCTTCAGTTTTAGATTCATCTTATATATTTTCTGTGTCAAAAACACGGCCAAAATCAACATTGAATACCATTTTTAAACAAATAAAAAACAAAAAAAGAAAGGAGTGCTGTTTCTTCCGTGACCTTAAACGTAGATTTGGTAATACAGAAGCGATTACGAGAAGTTCTTGAACGTTGTAATATATATTGAATATTATGGATACAACTGTATAAGCCACAAATGCAATAAATTATATCAATAGGTTCCTGTTTTATGTGAAATCATATAGTAAATTATTGTATTAAGTTTTCGATGTAATGTAAAAATAAGTACTGCTGAGCTGAAAATTATTGTCCACTTTGTGTTTTCATTTTTAGTTTAATTTGTACTAAAAATGAAAATTCAAACTCGACGATCATTTGGGGACGGAGGGAGAGTACTTTGTTATTGTTATTTTATAACATTTGGTCCATGTTAATTATTATACATTTGACCCCAGCAGATAATCACTTTGACAGAGTCCATTCAATGATGTGATAACGCCGGTGGTTTCGTTTAGCAAGATGACAATTGCGAAGTATATTACAAGTGTACAAACATTATGTTAATAGAAGAGAATACATGATGCAGTATGGTAATTATGCTCACTGAAAAAGGAACAAACAAGGGTGTTTCACCTATGCACTTCATCTTCTGAAACAAAAACGCCATAGATCATCAACTGCTCGAAGATTTGTCTGGAGCCAGAGCATCAGACGCTTTCAGCTTCCAAACTAGAAGACTCCCACGGCAAAAAGAAATGATGCACATATTTCAAGGAAAAGAAATGCCGGTCCATCAAGCCATTGTAAATCGAGAACATACATCTCTCCGTTGGCTTTATAAAGCTGTTGAAATGCAGGAGATTGGTTCAAAATCAAATATATTATCAGCAGTTCAAAATATATATATATATACATATATACCTAATCAGAAATATACGAATAGAGGCTGATATTGAAGTACTAAATGAAATTCATGCAGCAGTAAGCTCTTACAAACATAAACAAGCATACATGTCATCCTCCATGAGAATGGATGTGTGTTAATTATCCTTATACTTCTTTTCACCCTGTTACAGTACTATTTCTAAGAGTATTTTACTATAATAACACCACTATTTCTAAAATTATGGCTCAGAAACAGTATTATTCAGTAAAGCTTTCATTTAAGGGTTTGGATTTGTCTGATGAAGTAATTCTCCCAGTCCCAGATCTCAGTTGATTTTCAGTTCTTCACATGTCACGGAAACAAACATTAGAATTAAAAGACCGCTTTCCTTGTATCTGATGCTCATTAATTTTCAGGAGTACATCCGAAACTGATGTTTTGGGATTACACTCAACATGTGAATCACTGAGGAAGTACTACTTTGGTTTAAGTTAGAAAAGAAGTCTCCAATGCAATCATAATGCGGAATCACTGTTCTCTTGCATCATGAACTTCTTTCGCTAGATAGGCCAAGGGAAGTCTAACCTAATGCGTATGACATTTTCAGTTCCATAATTCAGACTGACAAGCGACGGAAACTAATTCTCACCTGTAATTCAAATTTGACAGAGTCATCAGTAGCAGCTGAACTTGGGAGTAATTTGCCACTGATAGCTTTTGTTTGAGGTGTTTGGGGGAACTGAGCAATGAAATTGGCTTTTGAACTTTTGGAATTTGGAGCTTCCCATAGACATTTCATGTTAAACGGTCCTATGCACTTCCACCGAACATTTTTGCTTTGGAAAACTCGTAGCACATTTGTCATAGTCTGGTGCGGTGGAGCTTGTGACTGAGAAGAAACAAAACAGAGATTCTGTTGGACATTTCTAAAAGAAATTGACATCAATACATAATGCATTAAGTTAATCAACTTACCTTGAAACCAAGTGTCCACCTTTGTTCATCGGTGGAAACTGACCTTAAGTAGACTTCAGCTTGGTCCAGGGGTTCCTGAAAGTTGAAAGCATTTATTTCAAAGCTCAAACCACTGCCCTCCAACTGAAACGAGGTCTCATAATCATGTTAATAACACATTTTCTAATGCCTAAATGGTGTCCATTCAATATTTGGCTAAAAATATCTGTATTTGGTTTAAAAAATAAGTCCTCTTCTTCCAAAGGCAGGCCATAACTCATATTACTACATCAATTTGTCGAGCGAGATTCCTGGCAGTATTAGTCTATTATGTTCATGCTATCAACAGGAGGCACTGAGCTTGATACACATCGTACAGGAATAATGAATTCAAGAAAATGGCTTGAACTAGTTCCTACAGCTGGTCAAACAACCTGTGTTTACAAAGTAAGTTGTGAACAAGAAATGCGACTTTCAATGGAGTTTAAAAAAAAAAAAAAAAACTGGCCGATTCTTCAATGTATTGCTTAAAATGCAATAATATCTGGCCTGTTTTCTCAAAATCACTCCTTTAGTGAGAGAGAGGAAAGACGAGATAAACTCACAGAAGATTCTAGAAGGTCATTTTTGCCATAACTAAAGCGAGACTGGAACTGCCGATGCAACATCAAATAATACGTGACTGTGATCTGCAAGAATTAAGGATATCAGATGACCAACCAGATGAGGACTTAAGTTATATGCATGGGCCTATACCTCATTTTGAACGTTATTGAGTAAAGATCCAATCACTTCACGTGCAATAAATCCCATTTGAATCATATCTCGTACAATTTCCTCATCAACCTTGAGAGATGACAGGCAAATTGTTGAAGTAACAAATTTTTTTTAGCAGTAACGATTAAGTCAATATATGAAATCGAAGGAAACACTGCATATCAACATTCATATTTCTGCCCGTTTGCATCTAAATACAGCAAAAGGCGTGACTTCACATCCAAGAAAAGGAAAAAGAAAAAGAAGCAAAACATAGGCGTAATCTACAAATGAGGAAACTAAAACATGGCAGAGCTTGATATAGTTTATCAAAGCTTACGATTACACAGCAATCAAATCAGATGTATTTTAGCCACGGAGGAATCTAGATGTGTAGCTTAACAAGGCAGTTCCCATTCAAATTTAAAGCATACTTTGATGATAGAAAATTGTATTAAGACAGTAAGAGATCTATCCCCGAAGATGCGAGCCCTTCCTACGTATAATACATAAAGTAAGGTAAACGGAATGGCTGCATGTCTTATGATATATTGTAACTAACTACTGAAGCAAAAAGTAAACCCAAAATTTAAAAAGATTAGAGGTGGTTACTGATTACGCAAGAATATGTTAAACTATTTTAGAAAGAAAACTATTTCTCAAATCACCTTGGTCGTATCATATAATGTGTCAACAGTAGCCCTAGCTATGTACCGCGGAATGTGCTCCTGAAACCATGGATGCTGGCGTATTTCAGGGATTGATATACGGTTAACGGGGTTCACCACAAAAATCCTGGCAATCAAGTCACTTGCACTTCTTGACATGTGATTTGCGATTTGGTAGACACCATTCTACATTAGCAGCTAGCAGCCATTACGTAAAGTAGAAAACGAAAATAAAAAATCCAATATCAATTTGTGAAGCTTACCCTTATCCTTGCATACAATCCGGGAAAATTGTCATCATCAAAAGGAAGTCGTCCACATATAAGAGCATAGAGAATAACTCCACAACTCCATACGTCAGCTTCAGGACCAGCATAAAGCCGATTAGTAACAACCTGTATTCAGTCAGGTCATATTAAGGAACTCATTACAGAAATCAAAATAGTTAATCGTGCATCACTAACCTCTGGAGCAGCATAATTTGGGCTACCACAGCTTGTTTTCAAGAAATGCCCATCACGCATTATATTCCCCAGTCCAAAGTCTGCAATCTTGACATTGCGTTTTGAATCCAACAGTAGGTTCTCTGGCTTAAGGTCCCTATGCACAACCATGTGATTGTGGCAATACTCAACCCCTGAAATTATCTACTCTAAACTGTCGACTGATTAATATAAGCTAATTTGCTTGTTTCCAAAACAATAAACTAAAAGAGCCCATGAATAAGTAACTTTTTCCCTTTTTCTCCTGTTAACACAGAAGCAAAACATCCAAAGCAACACAAATACACAATAAGCTTAAGAGTTCCAGCCTGCAAAGTTCTTTGTGTAATTCTAATTGTCTGAAATCTGAAAACACTCTCTAATGATCTTCAGATCAAATACATACCATTAAATGTGTTCAGTAATTAGTTATAGTTCCAAGCTTTAATACAACATCACTGCGGAAAATTTGGGCTATCATGGGTTATAACTTACATGGCTGAGCATACATCCGATAAAAGAAGAATGCCAACCAGCTATTCTCTCGACATTTTATCAAAGTTCACAAGTAAAAGGTGGAGCTGGTGGCTTTTCTATACAATATCGAACACAAACCAAATATCCAATACTGAACTCCCACATTTCAGAAGAACATACTTATGCTTCACTTCCCACATTTTCACTGACTACAATATTCTCTTTAATTACCAAATCTGGTTTACGAGTTATTCACTACTGTCATGGCATGTGCACTCAGCCATTAGGAGTCATAAGCACCTATATTATTGTAAAACACCAAGGAACATCAATTACTGATTCCTTTTTAATAAAATATACAACTTCCACAAAAGGCAGATACTAGAACACTATTATCATTCACGACGCAGAAATCGGTATCTCTGCTTTTAAACTACTCTTAAACGAAATGGAGTCCAATATATTCAGGCAATAGCTTACATCTGGACAAGTAACATGGTCATACACAATTAAATCTGTTAAAAAATACATATCAACTATACCGATGAGGGCAAAATGTAATGGCAATGAAAGCATGGACAGATCTATTTTTCACCTTTTTGGTTTGTTCCCATCATTGTTTTAATTATATTTCTCGCAAAAGGAAATATAAGGTCCAAATTTATCATAACACCTTTTCAGGTATCAGAAATATGAGAATGTACTTCAAGTTACTATTCAAGTTATGTTTCTCCAGAATCAGGACAATAAATCACTTTAATAAAATTTGTGTTTCCAAAATGTTAAATTTTCAAAATGACCAATAAATCACATACTGTAGCCAGAAAATTCAAGCTTCAAAATCAATTTCAGTTTAAGCCGGCAGTAAATGACTCTTCTGGGTTCGGCCTAAGCTTGAATCAAAATGGAGCAGTGCGGGCACAACTGTCTATCTGCGCTTGACAGTCATTATTTTAAAGACATTGTCTGACTGCTTGTATGTTTCTTACGAAATATTCAGTAAATTAAGCTTTGGCATTCTTCCTATTCGAGCTCGTAAAAATACTTTTCAGCAGCAGCAACAACAACTACACCAGCAACATACCCAGTACATGATCCCAACTTTTCATAAATAACATTCAGAATAACGTTTGCAAAGACAAATAACCACACTAGTAATCAAGCACTAAAGCCATAGGCTCATTTTGTCTAACATACCTGTTGAAAAAAATGGCGAGCTTCATCCTCAGGCAGTCTATTTCTTTCGGTGATGTAATAAAATAATTCACCTGAATTTAAATACTCCATAACCACATAGATGTGTGTATTCGTATCAATGACCTCGAATAGGCGAACTACATGAGGATGGGACAGCCGCCTCATTATATTGATTTCTCGTTTTACTGCAAAAAGCAAAAGGCACAAACAATGATAGGGAAAAATTATCCAATGTGTTCAATGTTTTTCTATTGCAACAGAAGGTTGAACTACATCAAACAGACGTTTAGCTGAAGATATAATACTTCCAAAAGGCTTTACACAAAGCTTACAGTTGATTAACTACCATGATTAATAATTCATCAGCTCAATCACACTACTGAACTTTGATTTAAAGAGAGCACAAAAAACTGTAGGCAATTGCAAACTTTAAACAATATCTTTTTCACCATAAGCTTAATTAACTCATAAAAACAAAACATAACAACGTTGTCTTACATTAACAGTGGTCATTGCCTTATTTTCATTAACAATGGCCTAAAAGTGAAGACAGCCAAGATACCCATCGACCACAAATTCATGACCTAGAGATTAAACTCACAGCTGTAGTCCAGAGTGGTCTTTTTACAAAAGTCAATAAACAATACATAATCCTGCAGAGTTACAGTTCAATATCTGGTAACATTGCAGTAACATCGTACCAATGGGCACATGGGATGATTTGTGTTACATGCAGACAAGTTGAAAAAGTATCTGGCACATGTATAAACTCATAATTCTCAGTTGAAAAAGTATCTGGCACATCTATAAACTCATAATTCTCAGTCCTCTTTCTATTGTTAACTTAGTCATTGGTGAATGAATAAATTCTTAGCAAAGAACAATTAATTACGAGGTTCCGTAGTTTCCAATTTAAAGAGCCCACTTGCTGGGGCTCCACAGAATTTGAAAAAGAAAACAAAAAAGTCCAGTTCATACTTTTCAGGTCAGAATTAGACTGCAAGAGATAATAATACACTCAGTTATCCTACTGTTTGCTACATTTGACATGTTTCCAGATGGAGTATGAATTACCAAAAGCTAACTTAAGATCAAACTGAAACATCTGAACACACACTAGTCAATAAGAATTATCCTTTATAATAAAGGTCAGTGCAGTTCCATTTTCAGAAAATTAAAACTAGCTTTTCCTTTTGGAAAACTTACAATAAACATGTTTGTCGGTGTAAAGAGAGAAAACAATTGTAGATAACAGTTCAAAAATGGAATAGTCGCGAGTCAATAAACTTTGAAGCATATACTATCACACTTGTCACTGTGAAATGTACCTTTCATTGTCTCTGTTTCATCCAGTGTTTGCTTATCAAGGATCTTTATGGCGACTTTAATCCCTGTCAAAGTATGAACGGCTAGTTTTACTTTAGCAAATGCTCCAACGCCCAGCGTTTTGCCCAGCCTGTAGTTTGATAGCGCACTCCTATATGATTTGCGCTCCTGACCACCTTTTACTTCCATCTTGAATCTGCAAACAACGGAAGGCGGCTACTTATTACAGCTAAGTTGCTGAAAAGAGGAGATTGGATATTGTGCAAATAGCAGCAAAGTATGCCTTCCATTGCAATTCAGCGCCACTGTTAATATGAAAGTAGAATATGCAAAAGTCGGGTACCCAATGATCCATAAAATGTTGCCAAATGTGGACGTGCAAGGTTTTTCAAAACAGGAGGACAGTAGATGACATGTGGAGGAATGCCGACATAGTCATTTTACAACTAATCATCCACTTCAACATACTGGACATTAAAAGATTTAAAAGAGATGTTGTCCATCAAATGTGAAGCTTGCAATTACACAATCAAAACAGTCAGAGCGAAAGCATAATTCATAACACTAGAGTAACCACCATCAATCAAAGATCTACGAATCTGAAAAAAATACTGATTACTTCTTAAAGTTGATGCCAGATTTTTCGACAACTTCAGAGTATCCTTAAACTAAGAATTCATTCCAATTTCAACCATATTCCACAATACTAAAAAAATTGGAAGCAATATCCCATCCCTTGGAAATATTTGATATACTATTATGATCATGATGGGGACAATCTATCTTGCCTGGAAACACAGCTAACATCTTAACATCCAAACCACTTATTCGATGAATATGAGAAAGCTATCTCACTATATCTTCTTGCAGGTCAGTGATGATTGCCATGCTTCACAAACTTAATTGTAGTTTGTGATGAAGATTATCACGTAATACTATAGGCTTCCCTTGTCTGAGTTTGAAGTGATTGAACAAAATGGTGACATTTTTCACTCTGTTTCATGTGATGACCAAAATTAGTAGACCTCGTAAGTTAGGGAGTATGGTACAGAACAACTACTTGAAATAAGAAGCAGCTTAGAAACCAACATCCAGAAGCTTTTTCTATTACAATTGATACTACAAAATTTCAGGACTAATAAAGGGCAGCTGAATCTCGATGATTTTAGCTAATAACCATTTTCAGACAAGCAATATAGCCCCTTTGATGAACTGACAGAAAAACAGAAATATTATAAGCAAGGATTGAAAAGATTTACTTAAGCTATGAATTCCTGGGGATCAAATCCAATATTAAAATAAAGATCATCAATGATAAAGTATTGATAATTTTACAATCAGCAAGTAAAATTCAGTAGGATTAAAAGGTACACATACCTCGTTCAAAGCCAAAGCGGAGGAGAAATGGCAAGAAGGAAGTACTTGAAGAAGGCAGAGGAATAACAACAAGAGGGACAATCAGGGACCCGGTTTTAAACTAAATCAAAATAAAAAACATATCTTTTCATCTGGGAGGTAACGTCAGACCAACGCAAATAGGAACAAAACTACCTAGGCAAGAGGTAGCCGGAAAAGGACTGGGAAAGACGGCATGCATACAGGACAAAAGACAGTGTAAATGCATTATAAGAAAATACAATTAGTGAATCACAAATTGTTCCATTTCCACATTTGAAACTTAAGCATTTTGGAAGTGTTAGAACTGGAAACTTTATGAAAAGTAATGAACTGGAGTGAATGGTAATTGGCTTGAGTTTTTTCTTTTTTTTTTTTTTGGCAAGAACTGGCCTGAGTTACGACTAACGAAAGGATCTAGACTTATTAACAAAAGATACTCCCTCTGTCATTATTATAAGGTATTTTAACTTTTTCTAAGTTTCACTTAATAGGCATTTTTATTGGCACAATTAAAAATGTGTACTAGTTGAAATATAGGACAAATAAAAATAACTTATATTAAGAACCGGAGGAAGTAAATGAGCGATTCTTTTTATAAGGATTGTGCAGTTGTAAGCAAGTTCTTTCCATATTATATATAAAAATAAACTATTAAGAAAAAGGGAACAAATGCTAGAAAAGAGGGAGAGAGGTCAATTGTCTTATTTCCAAAAACAAGACACACAACCCTTCAACAAAACCTTTTCAAAAAAAAAAAAAAAAAAAAAAACACCCTTCAACAGAAAAGCTCACAACATCCCATACCTAGTTTCATATTTTTAATTGAATTCTTACAATAAAAATGCTTAGTAAAAAATAAAAAGAAAAAATCACTGAAGAATGATAAATGTAAAGGCTAAACACGTGTAAAGACATCGCTGGCTGTTAATGTGCTTAAATTGTGTCAGCGACTTGGATTGTATCCAGGGCTGATGCCAAAGTTTGGCATCGTAGAGTTTCTTATCTCCAGCATCCACAGCTTCAAGAGTGAGATTATACCGCAAACCTGCCACTAGAGTATACGAAGCCTTGATCACTCTATCGAATTCGAGGAGTGCATTTTCCTTCTTGTTGTATTCTTGGACAGCAAAACGGCCCAGGCTTTCAAGTTCACTTTGACTTCCATTGTATTCGTGAGTCCCACCCAAAATTCTATCTTCATGAGGACCGCCGCCCTTCATCCTAGTTAAAGATTATTATACTAGTTCTAATAGAGATTTTACCTCGCAATTCGAATTGCGGAAACTGTTGCTAAAGACGAAAACAATTTGGTTTGCTTCCCTAAAACATACCTAAAAGATTCACATGATTACCCTTGAAAAAAAATCCACCACCAAGAACCCTATTTATAGAGTTTGATTTTGCAAAACAAGTCCAAAACCAATTACAACTCGAACTAGGTTTTCAAAGCACTCTATGTTTCCAAAAATTAAAATAATTTATTAATAATTAAATAAATAATTACACAGGTCACAAATATTTAAAATCATTAAAATACTGTATAAAATACCTAATCAAGTCTGACATGGCGAAAAAATTATAATGGGAAACCCTGAAATTGAAAGCCTAATCAAAACAGGAAAATAGCAGAAATTAGTAAATCTGTCGTCATGCTTGTCATCGACTTGGAGAAGCCGATGGAAATGCCGACAGACTCTTGTTCAATTTTTATTTTGGATTTTAAGTAACCTTCCATCATCCGGTGACATCAATATCAAAATGATTCCATGTGAACATTATATAATTATTAAATCAATGTAATGATTATAAAAGACCCGCAAGGGCTTATTTATGATTATAATATCGAATTAAATTTAAGTTAAACTTCCAAGTAGTTCTTGAATGGAAATCGAACCAGAAATTACGCCTATTGATTAGCTGGAAACGTTCTCGTATATTTACAGTGGGAAAGGACCCGACTTAACCTTATTTTGGGGGAAAAAGTAAAAAATTAATCATCAATTTTGGCAAAGTGAAACATAATATAAAATGTTACCCATGAATTTAAACTACGTACTGCTCTTAATTCATTTGTTATATAGGAGAAGAGAATAATAAGAAAAAAGTTTGAACATTGGAAAAATGGAAATCCTAATTTGGGGGAAGATAGGCTTTTATTTGCTAAATCCCGCAAGCCTATTGGCGAAAATGGAAATCCTAATTTCTTTTTTTTTTCCGTTGTAAATGTATTTAGTTACTTTCTGACAAATCCGAGCTCCGGTGCCCAGAAAAAGCAATTTATCTAGTATATCCGGGGGCGCCATACTCTCCCTCCTATTTTTTACACTACTAGTCCTTACTACACTTTTTTCCACTTTTCTAAATAACATCCTATAATTTACAGGTTTAGTCCCTTTGATTTTTTTTCTCTCTCCTTTAAAAAACATCTCTAATCTTTAAATGACCATATCTCATGATCCGTAAAAAATTAGAAAACGTATTATACATGAAAATTATAGTACTCGTCGAGATCTATCCAACAAGATCCATGTCGAATATTTTTTTCGAGTTTAAAAATGACTAAATTTCGATGGGTAGAATAAGATGAATATCTAGTTTAGAAAGATGGATATCTAGTTTAGAAAGATGGATAACTAGTTTAGTTTAGATTAAGATTCTTGTTTTGCATATATCTCTTGATCCGTAAAGAATTAGAATACGAATTATACATGAAATTTATAGTGCTAGATGAAATCTACCCGATAAGATACATGTTAAATATTTTTTTTGAACTTTAAATGCATTTAAATTTTACGGACAGAAATGAAGAAATGTGTTTTTCGTTTTTCTTTGAAAAATGGTTATCCGTTGTATTCCTACTGATTATCGAACCGGTTTGGACTGATTATCCATTCTGTTTGTAGTTGTTATCCAATCATATTTTGACATTCACTCTTTAAAAAAACAAAAAAGAAAGAAAAAATGATTGGATAAGCATTGCAAATAATTTGGATAATCAATAGAAAATAATTGGATAATCAGTGCAACACGTTCGATAATCAATACAAAAAAGTTTGACAATCATTTTCATAAAAGACCAAGGAAAAAAAATACTGGATAACCACCACAAAGAAGTTGGATAATCAATATGAACACATTGGATATCCAGTTTAAGAAGATAGATAACCAACTTATTTACATTCATATTGTTGTGTTCCTTATATCTTTTGATTCGTAAAGAATTATAACACGAATTGTATATGAAATTTATAATGCTCGACGAGATCTATCCGATAAGATCAATGTTGAATATTTCTTTTAAACTTTAAATGCATTAAAATCTTACGGGCAGAAATGAATAAACTGAAAAATGATTATCCGTTGTGTTGATACTGATTATCCAACCGGTTTGGACTAATTAACTATTTTGTTTTATCCAATCATATTTTTTACATTCACTTTTTAAAAAAGAAAAAAAGAAAAAAGAAGATGGATAACCAACTTAGTTTAGATTGATATTCTTATATTACATATATTTCTTGATCTGTAAAGAATTAGAACACGAATTATATATGAATTTTATAGTGCTTGACGAGATCTATCCAACCGGTTTGGACTAATTACCCATTTTGTTTGTACTTGTTATCCAGTCATATTTTTTACATTCACTCATCTTCAAAAAAAAGAAGAAGAAAAGAATAAAAAATAAAATATTTAGATAAGCATTACAAACAATTTGGATAATCATTGAAAATAATTGGATAAGTGGTACAAGTTGGTTGGATAACCAGTACAAAAAAATCAGACAATCATTTTCATTAAAAAAGCAAGGAAAAAAAAGGTCGGATAACCATCCATCACCGAGAAGTCGGATGGATAATCAGTATGAACACATTTGACATATTTTTTCTCAAAAGAAGAAAAAAAAAAGAAGAGAAATTATGTTTGAATAATCAGTGAAAGTGATTGAATAAGGCATACAAAACGGTTGGATAGTCAGTACAAAAAAATTGAACAAGGATTTTCGCAAGAGTTCAGAAAAAAATGGTCGGATAATCTATACAGAACAATTGGATAATCAATATGAACGCGTTGGACAATCATTTCTTTTTTTCATAAAAAGAAAAACCAAATGGATGGATATCCAGTACAAACGAGTTGGATATCCAGCACAAACACGTGGGATATCCATTACAAACAAGTTGGATAGGCATACAAACCAAATGGATGGATATCCACTACAAACAAGTTGGATAGGCATACAAACCAAATGGATGGATATCCAGTACAAACAAGTTGGATATCCAGTACAAGCGAGTTGGATATCCAGCACAAACAAGTTGGATATGCATACAAACCCGTTGGATTACAACTACAAAACAAGTTGGATAAGCATATAAACCAAATGGATGGATATCCAGTATAAGCGAGTTGGATATCCAATACAAACGAAATGGATATCCAGTACAAACAAGTGGGATATCCATTACAAACAAGTTTGATAGGCATACAAACGAAATGGGTGGATATCCAATACAAACAAGTTGGATAACCAGTTCAAACTGGTTGGATAATCAGCATAAACACAATGGATAACCAATTTTAAAATGAATTGGATTATCTATCTTTATAAACTAGATATCCATCTTATTCTGCCCATCGAAATCTAGTCATTTTAAACTCGGAAAAAATATTCGACATGGATCTTGTTGGATAGATCTAGATGAATACAATAAAATTCATGTGTAACGCCTTTTCTAATTCTTCACGGATTGAGAGATATGATCGTTTGAATATTAGAGATGTTTTTTTAGAAGAGAGAGAAAAAAGTAACAGGGACTAAACTTACAAATAATAGAAAGATTATTAGAAAATATAAAAAAAAGTACAATAAGGACTAGAAATGCAAAAAATAGGAGATGGAGTACGGTGCCCCCGGGTATACTGGATACAGACTCCCAGAAAATTGAAAAAGATGAAATAAAAAGGAAAAAAACTAAATATACGGAAATTCTTGATATTTTTTCTCTGATCTTTCCAGCTTTATTCGGTTCTGTTGTAAACGAATTCTCAACGGATTTCACTTCCCGAAGGATTAACTTGCAGGAAAATCTACTACTCTTACATAAGGGAAGTTACAGTTTTATCATTGGAAAGCTGTATTGTCATTTATCTATTGTATTTAAATAAGGACAGGTGTCAGCTTCACGTTAAAAATTTTTTCGTCAAAAACATTTTTTAGTACAAAATGAAAATTGACACGTAGCACTCTAAATGTGCAGAAAAAAAAGAGGGCTTAAAAACATATTAGTATACTAATATTTATTTATTTCACTAAAAAAAATATAAAAAAAACTCAGCCAATTTAAATGAGAATAAGGTAAACAAGGAATCCCAATCTTTAAACAAGGAATCCCAATCTTCGCTCATGTTTCCCTAATTTTAGCAGAGGATAACAATAATCTTCCCATTATCAGATAATCTTTTCCATTCAGTTAATAAAATCAAACTTCAAAAAAATTTATCACCCAAATTATCCGGCTCTCTCTCCATCCACAAAATTCAAATCACCCGTTCTCAGAAAATTCAATCTCAGCAAGATGATCCCTTCCAATCACTCACTCCAAAATTTCTTCTATTTTTTTTCCCGATCCGACCTCAACATTGCGGTAGAAACTGCTCCTAAATTAACTCCCATTAATTACTCGCCTTTCAATTTCAAAAAATTAAAAGATCTCAAAGGATCTCCTCCACTCCGATCCCTTATCTCTCTCTCTCTCTCTCTCAGATATGTTCTTTTCTGCTTTTGAATATTGGAAGAAATTGCTTTGTGTGTTTTTGAGTATTGGAAGAAATTGCTTGGTATGTATCCCGGGCCCGAGAAGTTGACATCAGCAAAACCAGTTGATTGGCGAAATCTCTTGATAATTTCTGCTAGAGGGCAACACGGTGAGAAGAGGAAAGCCACTGCCCTAAGCATAAAGAAAACCACTATTTGTGTTCAAAGTATTCATTGATTAACCCCTCTCTTCCTCTCCCTTCTTTATGCGAGAACTAATCTCAGTAACCAGAAACTTCTGCAGCGAGATGGTGCCTATGCCGATGGAGGAACCCTTGGTTGGGTGGAAGCACAGAAAAATTCGACAATCAGGGAAGGAGGTAAAAGATATATTACATTAATCTTATTCGATTGGAGTCTCTATGCTTTGCGGTTTGCAGTATATCCCGGTCGAATTCCTGATTCATGCCTTTTTATAGATTAAGTGTGTGCCCATAAACTCAAATCTGTGAAAACATTTTTTTGATTTTGTGTTTCTTTCCCCGCAAGTTGATATCTTTTGTAATTATTATTTGTCGTATTTTGTGGTCGTATTATCAGTTCGACGATGGAGAGAACAAAAGGTAACCCTATCTTCTGCCGCCGTAATTGAGCCTGGAGTTTCTCACAAAAAGAGATGTCCTCCATCATTGCCCAAAACGGTAAGAACACAAAATCTCGCATCCCTTTTGATGTTCCATTTTCTTTACTTTGGCCCTGGATGCCTTTGAAATCGGATCAATTTGTTTAATTTATTTTAGCAATTTGTTCTTTGCAACGTGTGAAATTAGTTGTTGCTATTGCTTCTCATGGTCTTGGAAAAGAAGCATAATCAGTTCTTGCTGATTCATTTAAGCTGAGATTTAATTCAATCAAAAGCATAATATGAGTTATGGGGATTGTAAGGAGATAGATAATGATTGTTGACAAAGTTAATAGCCGTATATTAGGAAGAACCTCTAAAGACTGTCTAGAGCTAAAGAGTATATGTATATTCTTTTAGCAGGTAAACTCATATTCAATAGTCAAAGGGTTCACCTTTATTGGAACTAGAGGTGATGATTTTTTTCAAGCTATGGTTAGTTTTGTTGAATCTATAATCCAACAGCCATTTCCAGAGGTATTATACCATTTTGTATACCAGAATAGATTTTCAAAGAAAGCAGTTTTAGTTATTCGTCGTATTTTGTGGTCGTATTATCAGTTCGATGATGGAGAGAACAAAAAGCTAACCCTATCTTCTGCCGCCGTAATTGAGCCTGGAGTTTCTCACAAAAAGAGATGTCCTCCATCATTGCCCAAAACGGTAAGAACACAAAATCTCGCATCCCTTTTGATGTTCCATTTTCTTTACTTTGGCCCTGGATGCCTTTGAAATCGGATCAATTTGTTTAATTTATTTTAGCAATTTGTTCTTTGCAACGTGTGAAATTAGTTGTTGCTATTGCTTCTCATGGTCTTGGAAAAGAAGCATAATCAGTTCTTGCTGATTCATTTAAGCTGAGATTTAATTCAATCAAAAGCATAATATGAGTTATGGGGATTGTAAGGAGATAGATAATGATTGTTGACAAAGTTAATAGCCGTATATTAGGAAGAACCTCTGAAGACTGTCTGGAGCTAAAGAGTATATGTATATTCTTTTTGCAGGTAAACTCATATTCAATAGTCAAAGGGTTCACCTTTATTGGAACTAGAGGTGATGACTTTGTTCAAGCTATGGTTAGTTTTGTTGAATCCATAATCCAACAGCCATTTCCAGAGGTATTATACCATTTTGTATACCAGAATAGATTTTCAAAGAAAGCAGTCTTAGTTATTCGTCGTATTTTATGGTCGGATTATTAATTCGATGATGGAGAGAACAAAAAGGTAACCCTATCTTCTGCCGCCGTAATTGAGCCTGGAGTTTCTCGCAAAAATAGATGTCCTCCATCATTGCCCAAAACGGTAAGAACACAAAATCTCGCATCCCTTTTGATGTTCCATATTCTCTACTTTGGCCCTGGATGCTTTTGAAATCGGATCAATTTGTGTAATTTATTTTAGCAATTTGTTCTTTGCAACGTGTGAAATTAGTTCTTGCTATTGCTTCTCATGGTCTTGGAAAAGAAACATAATCAGTTCTTGCAAATTTATTTAAGCTGAGATTTAATTCAATCAAAAGCATAATATGAGTTATGGGGATTGTAAGGAGATAGATAATGATTGTTGACAAAGTTAATAGCCGTCTATTAGGAAGAACCTCTGAAGACTGTCTGGAGCTAAAGAGTATATGTATATTCTTTTTGCAGGTAAACTCATATTCAATAGTCAAAGGGTTCACCTTTATTGGAACTAGAGGTGATGACTTTGTTCAAGCTATGGTTAGTTTTGTTGAATCCATAATCCAACAGCCATTTCCAGAGGTATTATACCATTTTGTATACCAGAATAGATTTTCAAAGAAAGTAGTTTTAGTTATTTGTCGTATTTTGTGGTCGTATTATCAGTTCGATGATGGAGAGAACAAAAAGCTAACCCTATCTTCTGCCGCCGTAATTGAGCCTGGAGTTTCTCGCAAAAAGAGATGTCCTCCATCATTGCCCGAAATGGTAAGAACACAAAATCTCGCATCCCTTTGGATGTTACATTTTCTCTACTTTGGCCCTGGATGCTTTTGAAATCGGATCAATTTGTGTAATTTATTTTAGCAATTTGTTCTTTGGAACGTGTGAAATTAGTTCTTGCTATTGCTTCTCATGGTCTTGGAAAAGAAACATAATCAGTTCTTGCTGATTCATTTAAGCTGAGATTTAATTCAATCAAAAGCATAATATGAGTTATGGGGATTGTAAGGAGATAGATAATGATTGTTGACAAAGTTAATAGCCGTATATTAGGAAGAAGCTCTGAAGACTGTCTGGAGCTAAAGAGTATATGTATATTCTTTTTGCAGGTAAACTCATATTCAATAGTCAAAGGGTTCACCTTTATTGGAACTAGAGGTGATGATTTTGTTCAAGCTATGGTTAGTTTTGTTGAATCTATAATCGAACAGCCATTTCCAGAGGTATTATACCATTTTGTATACCAGAATAGATTTTCAAAGAAAGCAGTCTTAGTTATTCGTCGTATTTTGTGGTCGTATTATCAATTCGATGATGGAGAGAACAAAAAGGTAACCCTATCTTCTGCCGCCGTAATTGAGCCTGGAGTTTCTCGCAAAAAGAGATGTCCTCCATCATTGCCCAAAAGGGTAAGAACACAAAATCTCGCATCCCTTTTGATGTTCCATATTCTCTACTTTGGCCCTGGATGCTTTTGAAATCGGATCAATTTGTTTAATTTATTTTAGCAATTTTTTCTTTGCAACGTGTGAAATTAGTTCTTGCTATTGCTTCTCATGGTCTTGGAAAAGAAATATAATCAGTTCTTGCTGATTCATTTAAGCTGAGATTTAATTCAATCAAAAGCATAATATGAGTTATGGGGATTGTAAGGAGATAGATAATGATTGTTGACAAAGTTAATAGCCGTATATTAGGAAGAACCTCTGAAGACTGTCTGGAGCTAAAGAGTATATGTATATTCTTTTTGTAGGTAAACTCTTATTCAATAGTCAAAGGGTTTACCTTTATTGGAACTAGAGGTGATGATTTTGTTCAAGCTATGGTTAGTTTGGTTGAATCTATAATTCAACAGCCATTTCCAGAGGTATTATACCATTTTGTATACCAGAATAGATTTTCAAAGAAAGCAGTTTTAGTTATTCGTCGTATTTTGTGGTCGTATTATCATTTCGATGATGGAGAGAACAAAAAGCTAACCCTATCTTCTGCCGCCGTAATTGAGCCTGGAGTTTCTCGCAAAAAGAGATGTCCTCCATCATTGCCCAAAACGGTAAGAACACAAAATCTCGCATCCCTTTTGATGTTCCATTTTCTTTACTTTGGCCCTGGATGCTTTTGAAATCGGATCAATTTGTTTAATTTATTTTAGCAATTTGTTCTTTGCAACGTGTGAAATTAGTTCTTGCTATTGCTTCTCATGGTCTTGGAAAAGAAGCATAATCAGTTCTTGCTGATTCATTTAAGCTGAGATTTAATTCAATCAAAAGTATAATATGAGTTATGGGGATTGTAAGGAGATAGATAGTGATTGTTGACAAAGTTAATAGCCGTATATTAGGAAGAACCTCTGAAGACTGTCTGGAGCTAAAGAGTATATGTATATTCTTTTTGCAGGTAAACTCATATTCAATAGTCAAAGGGTTCACCTTTATTGGAACTAAAGGTGATGATTTTGTTCAAGCTATGGTTAGTTTTGCTGAATCTATAATCCAACAGCCATTTCCAGGGGTACTATATCATTTTGTATACCAGAATAGATTTTCAAAGAAAGCAGTTTTAGTTATTAGGGTATTTCTATTTAAATAGATTAAGTGTGTGCCCATAAACTCGAATCTGTGAAAACATTTTTTTGATTTTGTGTTTCTTTCCCGCGTGTTGATATCTTTTGTAATTATTATTCATTGTATTTTGTGGTCGTATTATCAACTCGATGATGGAGAGAACAAAAAGGTAACCCTATCTTCTGCCGCCGTAATTGAGCCTGGAGTTTCTCGCAAAAAGAGATGTCCTCCATCATTGCCCAAACTGGTAAGAACACAAAATCTCGCATCCCTTTTGATGTTACATTTTCTCTACTTTGGCCCTGGATACTTTTGAAATCGGATCAATTTGTGTAATTTATTTTAGCAATTTGTTCTTTGCAACGTGTGAAATTAGTTCTTGCTATTGCTTCTCATGGTCTTGGAAAAGAAACATAATCAGTTCTTGCTGATTCATTTAAGTTGAGAATTAATTCAATCAAAATCATAGTATGAGTTATGGGGATTGTAAGGAGATAGATAATGATTGTTGACAAAGTTAATAGCCGTATATTAGGAAGAACCTCTAAAGACTGTCTAGAGCTAAAGAGTATATGTATATTCTTTTAGCAGGTAAACTCATATTCAATAGTCAAAGGGTTCACCTTTATTGGAACTAGAGGTGATGACTTTGTTCAAGCTATGGTTAGTTTTGTTGAATCCATAATCCAACAGCCATTTCCAGAGGTATTATACCATTTTGTATACCAGAATAGATTTTCAAAGAAAGTAGTTTTAGTTATTCGTCGTATTTTGTGGTCGTATTATCAGTTCGATGATGGAGAGAACAAAAAGCTAACCCTATCTTCTGCCGCCGTAATTGAGCCTGGAGTTTCTCGCAAAAAGAGATGTCCTCCATCATTGCCCAAAACGGTAAGAACACAAAATCTCGCATCCCTTTTGATGTTCCATTTTCTTTACTTTGGCCCTGGATGCTTTTGAAATCGGATCAATTTGTTTAATTTATTTTAGCAATTTGTTCTTTGCAACGTGTGAAATTAGTTCTTGCTATTGCTTCTCATGGTCTTGGAAAAGAAGCATAATCAGTTCTTGCTGATTCATTAAAGCTGAGATTTAATTCAATCAAAAGCATAATATGAGTTATGGGGATTGTAAGGAGATAGATAATGATTGTTGACAAAGTTAATAGCCGTATATTAGGAAGAACCTCTGAAGACTGTCTGGAGCTAAAGAGTATATGTATATTCTTTTTGCAGGTAAACTCATATTCAATAGTCAAAGGGTTCACCTTTATTGGAACTAGAGGTGATGATTTTTTTCAAGCTATGGTTAGTTTTGTTGAATCTATAATCCAACAGCCATTTCCAGAGGTATTATACCATTTTGTATACCAGAATAGATTTTCAAAGAAAGCAGTCTTAGTTATTCGTCGTATTTTATGGTCGGATTATTAATTCGATGATGGAGAGAACAAAAAGGTAACCCTATCTTCTGCCGCCGTAATTGAGCCTGGAGTTTCTCACCAAAAGAGATGTCCTCCATCATTGCCCAAAACGGTAAGAACACAAAATCTCGCATCCCTTTTGATGTTCCATTTTCTCTACTTTGGCCCTGGAGGCTTTTGAAATCGGATCAATTTGCGTAATTTATTTTAGCAATTTGTTCTTTGGAACGTGTGAAATTAGTTCTTGCTATTGCTTCTCATGGTCTTGGAAAAGAAACATAATCAGTTCTTGCTGATTCATTTAAGCTGAGATTTAATTCAATCAAAAGCATAATATGAGTTATGGGGATTGTAAGGAGATAGATAATGATTGTTGACAAAGTTAATAGCCGTATATTAGGAAGAACCTCTGAAGACTGTCTGGAGCTAAAGAGTATATGTATATTCTTTTTGCAGGTAAACTCATATTCAATAGTCAAAGGGTTCACCTTTATTGGAACTAGAGGTGATGATTTTGTTCAAGCTATGGTTAGTTTTGTTGAATCTATAATCCAACAGCCATTTCCAGAGGAATTATACCATTTTGTATACCAGAATAGATTTTCAAAGAAAGCAGTCTTAGTTATTCGTCGTATTTTGTGGTCGTATTATCAATTCGATGATGGAGAGAACAAAAAAGTAACCCTATCTTCTGCCGCCGTAATTGAGCTTGGAGTTTCTCGCAAAAAGAGATGTCCTCCATCATTGCTCAAAACGGTAAGAACACCAAATCTCGCATCCCTTTTGATGTTCAATATTCTCTACTTTGGCCCTGGATGCTTTTGAAATCGGATCAATTTGTGTAATTTATTTTAGCAATTTGTTCTTTGCAACGTGTGAAATTAGTTCTTGCTATTGCTTCTCATGGTCTTGGAAAAAAAAATATAATCAGTTCTTGCTGATTCATTTAAGCTGAGAATTAATTCAATCAAAAGCATAATATGAGTTATGGGGATTGTAAGGAGAAAGATAATGATTGTTGACAAAGTTAATAGCCATATATTAGGAAGAACCTCTGAAGACTGTCTGGAGTTAAAGAGTACATGTATATTTTTTTGCAGGTAAACTCATATTCAATAGTCAAAGGGTTCACCTTTATTGGAACTAGAGGTGATGACTTTTTTCAAGCTATGGTTAGTTTTGTTGAATCCATAATCCAACAGCCATTTCCAGAGGTATTATACCATTTTGTATACCAGAATAGATTTTCAAAGAAAGCAGTTTTAGTTATTCGTCGTATTTTGTGGTCGTATTATCTGTTCGATGATGGAGAGAACAAAAAGCTAACCCTATCTTCTGCCGCCGTAATTGAGCCTGGAGTTTCTCGCAAAAAGAGATGTCCTCCATCATTGCCCAAAACAATAAGAACACAAAATCTCGCATCCTTTTTGATGTTCCATTTTCTTTACTTTGGACCTGGATGCTTTTGAAATCGGATCAATTTGTTTAATTTATTTTAGCAATTTGTTCTTTGCAACGTGTGAAATTAGTTCTTGCTATTGCTTCTCATGGTCTTGGAAAAGAAGCATAATCAGTTCTTGCTGATTCATTTAAGCGGAGATTTAATTCTATCAAAAGCATAATATGAGTTATGGGGATTGTAAGGAGAGAGATAATGATTGTTGACACAGTTAATAGCCGTATATTAGGAAGAACCTCTGAAGACTATCTGGAGCTAAAGAGTATATATATATATATTCTTTTTGCAGGTAAACTCATATTCCATAGTCAAAGGGTTCACCTTTATTGGAACTAAAGAGGATGATTTTGTTCAAGCTATGGTTAGTTTTGCTGAATCTATAATCCAACAGCCATTTCCAGAGGTATTATATCATTTTGTATTCCAGAATAGATTTTCAAAGAAAGCAGTTTTAGTTATTAGGGTATTTCTATTTAAATAGATTAAGTGTGTGCCCATAAACTCGAATCTGTGAAAATATTTTTTTGATTTTGTGTTTCTTTCCCGCGTGTTGATATCTTTTGTAATTATTATTCGTTGTATTTTGTTGTCGTATTATCAACTCGATGATGGAGAGAACAAAAAGGTAACCCTATCTTCTGCCGCCGTAATTGAGCCTGGAGTTTCTCGCAAAAAGAGATGTCCTCCATCATTGCCCAAAATGGTAAGAACACAAAATCTCGCATCCCTTTTGATGTTCCATTTTCTCTACTTTGGCCCTGGATGCTTTTGAAATCGGATCAATTTGTGTAATTTATTTTAGCAATTTGTTCTTTGCAACGTGTGAAATTAGTTCTTGCTATTGCTTCTCATGGTCTTGGAAAAGAAACATAATCAGTTCTTGCTGATTCATTTAAGCTGAGAATTAATTCAATCAAAAGCATAATATGAGTTATGGGGATTGTAAGGAGATAGATAATGATTGTTGACAAAGTTAATAGCCATATATTAGGAAGAACCTCTGAAGACTGTCTGGAGCTAAAGAGTATATGTATATTCTTTTTGCAGGTAAACTCATATTCAATAGTCAAAGGGTTCACCTTTATTGGAACTAGAGGTGATGATTTTGTTCAAGCTATGGTTAGTTTTGTTGAATCTATAATCCAACAGTCATTTCCAGAGGTATTATACCATTTTGTATACCAGAATAGATTTTCAAAGAAAGCAGTCTTAGTTATTCGTCGTATTTTATGGTTGGATTATTAATTCGATGTTGGAGAGAACAAAAAGGTAACCCTATCTTCTGCCGCCGTAATTGAGCCTGGAGTTTCTCACCAAAAGAGATGTCCTCCATCATTGCCCAAAATGGTAAGAACACAAAATCTCGCATCCCTTTTGATGTTCCATTTTCTCTACTTTGGCCTTGGATGCTTTTGAAATCGGATCAATTTGTGTAATTTATTTTAGCAATTTGTTCTTTGCAACGTGTGAAATTAGTTCTTGCTATTGCTTCTCATGGTCTTGGAAAAGAAACATAATCAGTTCTTGCTGATTCATTTAAGCTGAGAATTAATTCAATCAAAAGCATAATATGAGTTATGGGGATTGTAAGGAGATAGATAATGATTGTTGACAAAGTTAATAGCCATATATTAGGAAGAACCTCTGAAGACTGTCTGGAGCTAAAGAGTATATGTATATTCTTTTTGCAGGTAAACTCATATTCAATAGTCAAAGGGTTCACCTTTATTGGAACTAGAGGTGATGACTTTGTTCAAGCTATGGTTAGTTTTGTTGAATCCATAATCCATTAGCCATTTCCAGAGGTATTATACCATTTTGTATACCAGAATAGATTTTCAAAGAAAGCAGTTTTAGTTATTCGTCGTATTTTGTGGTCGTATTATCAGTTCGATGATGGAGAGAACAAAAAGGTAACCCTATCTTCTACGGCCGTAATTGAGCCTGGAGTTTCTCGCAAAAAGAGATGTCCTCCATCATTGCCATAAACGGTAAGAACACAAAATCTCGCATCCCTTTTGATGTTCCATTTTCTTTACTTTGGCCCTGAATGCTTTTGAAATCGGATCAATTTGTGTAATTTATTTTAGCAATTTGTTCTTTGCAACGTGTGAAATTAGTTCTTGCTATTGCTTCTCATGGTCTTGGAAAAGAAACATAATCAGTTCTTGCTGATTCATTTAAGCTGAGAATTAATTCAATCAAAAGCATAATATGAGTTATGGGGATTGTAAGGAGATAGATAATGATTGTTGACAAAGTTAATAGCCATATATTAGGAAGAACCTCTGAAGACTGTCTGGAGCTAAAGAGTATATGTATATTCTTTTTGCAGGTAAACTCATATTCAATAGTCAAAGGGTTCACCTTTATTGGAACTAGAGGTGATGATTTTGTTCAAGCTATGGTTAGTTTTGTTGAATCTATAATCCAACAGCCATTTCACAAGGTATTATACCATTTTGTATACCAGAATAGATTTTCAAAGAAAGCAGTCTTAGTTATTCATCATATTTTGTGGTCGTATTATCAATTCGATGATGGAGAGAACAAAAAGGTAATCCTATCTTCTGCCGCCGTAATTGAGCCTGGAGTTTCTCGCAAAAAGAGATGTCCTCCATCATTGCCCAAAACGGTAAGAACACAAAATCTCGCATCCCTTTTGATGTTCCATTTTCTTTACTTTGGCCCTGGATGCTTTTGAAATCGGATCAATTTGTTTAATTTATTTTAGCAATTTGTTCTTTGCAACGTGTGAAATTAGTCCTTGCTATTTCTTCTCATGGTCTTGGAAAAGAAGCATAATCAGTTCTTGCTGATTCATTTAAGCTGAGATTTAATGAAAAGCATAATATGAGTTATGGGGATTGTAAGGAGATAGATAATGATTGTTGACAAAGTTAATAGCCGTATATTAGGAAGAACCTCTGAAGACTGTCTGGAGCTAAAGAGTATATGTATATTCTTTTTGCAGGTAAACTCATATTCAATAGTCAAAGGGTTCACCTTTATTGGAACTAAAGGTGATGATTTTGTTCAAGCTATGGTTAGTTTTGCTGAATCTATAATCCAACAGCCATTTCCAGAGGTATTATGTCATTTTGTATTCCAGAATAGATTTTCAAAGAAAGCAGTTTTAGTTATTAGGGTATTTCTATTTAAATAGATTAAGTGTGTGCCCATAAACTCGAATCTGTGAAAACATTTTTTTGATTTTGTGTTTCTTTCCCGCGTGTTGATATCTTTTGTAATTATTATTCGTTGTATTTTGTGGTCGTATTATCAACTCGATGATGGAGAGAACAAAAAGGTAACCCTATCTTCTGCCGCCATAATTGAGCCTGGAGTTTCTCGCAAAAAGAGATGTCCTCCATCATTGCCCAAAATGGTAGAAACACAAAATCTCGCATCCCTTTTGATGTTACATTTTCTCTACTTTGGCCCTGGATGCTTTTGAAATCGGATCAATTTGTGTAATTTATTTTAGCAATTTGTTCTTTGCAACGTGTGAAATTAGTTCTTGCTATTGCTTCTCATGGTCTTGGAAAAGAAACATAATCAGTTCTTGCTGATTCATTTAAGCTGAGAATTAATTCAATCAAAAGCATAATATGAGTTATGGGGATTGTAAGGAGATAGATAATGATTGTTGACAAAGTTAATAGCCATATATTAGGAAGAACCTCTGAAGACTGTCTAAAGCTAAAGAGTATATGTATATTCTTTTTGCAGGTAAACTTATATTCAATAGTCAAAGGGTTCACCTTTATTGGAACTAGAGGTGATGACTTTGTTCAAGCTATGGTTAGTTTTTTTGAATCCATAATCCAACAGCCATTTCCAGAGGTATTATACCATTTTGTATACCAGAATAGATTTTCAAAGAAAGCAGTTTTAGTTATTCGTCGTATTTTGTGGTCGTATTATCAGTTCAATGATGGAGAGAACAAAAAGGTAACCCTATCTTCTGCCGTCGTAATTGAGCCTGGAGTTTCTCGCAAAAAGAGATGTCCTCCATCATTGCCCAAAACGGTAAGAACACAAAATCTCGCATCCCTTTTGATGTTCCATTTTCTTTACTTTGGCCCTGGATGCTTTTGAAATCGGATCAATTTGTTTAATTTACTTTAGCAATTTGTTCTTTGCAACGTGTGAAATTAGTTCTTGCTATTTCTTCTCATGGTCTTGGAAAAGAAGCATAATCAGTTCTTGCTGATTCATTTAAGCTGAGATTTAATTCAATCAAAAGCATAATATGAGTTATGGGGATTGTAAGGAGATAGATAATGATTGTTGACAAAGTTAATAGCCGTATATTAGGAAGAACCTCTGAAGACTGTCTGGAGCTAAAGAGTATATGTATATTCTTTTTGCAGGTAAACTCATATTCAATAGTCAAAGGGTTCACCTTTATTGGAACTAGAGGTGATGATTTTGTTCAAGCTATGGTTAGTTTTGTTGAATCTATAATCCAACAGCCATTTCCAGAGGTATTATTCCATTTTGTATACCAGAATAGATTTTCAAAGAAAGCAGTCTTAGTTATTCGTCGTATTTTGTGGTCGTATTATCAATTCGATGATGGAGAGAACAAAAAGGTAACCCTATCTTCTGCCGCCGTAATTGAGCCTGGAGTTTCTTGCAAAAAGAGATGTCCTCCATCATTGCCCAAAACGGTAAGAACACCAAATCTCGCATCCCTTTTGATGTTCCATTTTCTTTACTTTAGCCCTGGATGCTTTTGAAATCGGATCAATTTGTTTAATTTATTTTAGCAATTTTTTCTTTGCAACGTGTGAAATTAGTTCTTGCTATTGCTTCTCATGGTCTTGGAAAAGAAACATAATCAGTTCTTGCTGATTCATTTAAGCTGAGATTTAATTCAATCAAAAGCATAATATGAGTTATGGGGATTGTAAGGAGATAGATAATGATTGTTGACAAAGTTAATAGCCGTATATTAGGAAGAACCTCTGAAGACTGTCTGGAGCTAAAGAGTATATGTATATTCTTTTTGCAGGTAAACTCATATTCAATAGTCAAAGGGTTCACCTTTATTGGAACTAAAGGTGATGATTTTGTTCAAGCTATGGTTAGTTTTGTTGAATCTATAATCCAACAGCCATTTCCAGAGGTATTATATCATTTTGTATACCAGAATAGATTTTCAAAGAAAGCAGTTTTAGTTATTAGGGTATTTCTATTTAAATAGATTAAGTGTGTGCCCATAAACTCGAATCTGTGAAAACTTTTTTTTTGATTTTGTGTTTCTTTCCCCGCGTGTTGATATCTTTTGTAATTATTATTCGTCGTACTTTGTGGTCGTATTATCAGTTCGATGATGGAGAGAACAAAAAGGTAACCCTATCTTCTGCCGCCGTAATTGAGCCTGGAGTTTCTCGCAAAAAGAGATGTCCTCCATCATTGCCCAAAATGGTAAGAACACAAAATCTCGCATCCCTTTTGATGTTCCATTTTCTCTACTTTGGCCCTGGATGCTTTTGAAATCGGATCAATTTGTGTAATTTATTTTAGCAATTTGTTCTTTGCAACGTGTGAAATTAGTTCTTGCTATTGCTTCTCATGGTCTTGGAAAAGAAACAGAATCAGTTCTTGCTGATTCATTTAAGCTGAGATTTAATTCAATCAAAAGCATAATATGAGTTATGGGGATTGTAAGGAGATAGATAATGATTGTTGACAAAGTTAATAGTCGTATATTAGGAAGAACCTCTGAAGACTGTCTGGAGCTAAAGAGTATATGTATATTCTTTTTGCAGGTAAACTCATATTCAATAGTCAAAGGGTTCACCTTTATTGGAACTAGAGGTGATGATTTTGTTCAAGCTATGGTTAGTTTTGTTGAATCTATAATCCAACAGCCATTTCCAAACGTATTATACCATTTTGTATACCAGAATAGATTTTCAAAGAAAGCAGTTTTAGTTATTAGGGTATTTCTATTTAAAATGTGTATCGATTTTGTCTGTGTTTCCTCCTTTTTAGATTTTATATTTGGGCTTGGGTTATTCAGTAGAATGATATTCACTTTAGTTTATCATTTTGTAGTAATGTTTTCTTCTATAATCTACGCTTTTTGTCCATTCAAATTGAATTACAAACTTTTCCGAGTTATTCCCATCACTCAGCTGAATGTTTTGCTGTAACCAGGGCTAGTTGAAATAAAAACTTTCCTCAAGAGGTAAATATGTATCTATAAAAAGTTTTCCGATTCAAGTAGTTTCGAGTGAACAGGTCCATTAACTTCTTTGTCCCTCTCCCTTATATGTTAATGTTTTCATTTCTGCATAACAACCCTTTTAGGGCGAATGGCCGAGGATTAAATAACTGCATTATTTTGCTGTATGAATCCAGATCTTTATTTCGGTCGTAAATAAATCCAAAGAGAGTATGCAAATTGGACGCATGGATTAACATTTATCTTTTCTAAGGAAATAGCTATGAGGGCTTAGCAGCAACAGATGAAGATGTTTATGGTTAGGGCTAGCCAAATGGAAGATGCTGATTGCAAAAAGATATTCTGACGGGAGAGCGAATAGGATTCATCATTTGATTGGTAAAGTTTTGATTGGTTTTTGTTTACAATCAGATATTATGATGGACAATTGTTTATTTCCACATCTTACGGGTAAAGATTCAATTTATTCTTCATTTAGTTTCAGGGCTAAAAACACAATTTTGACGCCACCTCCTCCACTCTTTCAAGTTTCAACAAGTTTCTGTGGGACTAATATAACTCGGTTTTGCTACTTGAACTTCCTCGAAAGCTGCCATTTTTCATCAATTTTGTGGGTTTCATCAAAGCAAGTAAGACCTCAAAATCGCATCTTTGTCTTCATTTGCAAGGTATAATGAATAGATAAATAGTTCCATTTGGTGTATTTTTGGTTTCCAAATGCATTGATCATTTGTAATATTTAGTCCGAGAGTACTCACGAAGACATCACTCTTGCACCTCACTAATATGCTTCATTTGGAATTGTTAAATCTATAGACTACATACAGATAAATTATGAGCGTCTTCAAGACCCAAATCCCCCAGCCACCTTGATGAGGGAATATGGAGTATCTGTATATTGCCAAATGTGGATTGAGAAATTCTTGTAGAACTGTGAATAATTTCAGTGATTATTTGAGGAGGATTGGGTTGTGGGTGCTACCTTATCAAAAGGTTGCATTGATGTGACTGGGTTAAAGTTTCGGGCAAATTGAACATTTTTTTTAGCCGCTGTTCTTCTTGAATTTTAAGTAAGTATTCTATTGTGGTGCTTGGATTTGAATTTGTCCAGTTTTGGTTTCTCATGGTGGGTTTTAGTTTTTACAATACTGTAGTTTAACAATAATTGTTGAATCTAATTATACCTTTTTTTTCCATGTTAAATTGGCAGCCATCTTTCAAAGAACTCCAATGAATAACATTGGTGATATTGCGAGTTTATCGTCTAAATCTGCAAGCTACTTGGCTCTATCTACTGTAGTTTATGTAAGGAATCAAATACGAATTTGTTCAATATGTGCCCAGGAGTACTTTTATCATGAGTTTTTAAGTCCATATTGAACATCCTCATTGCATCACTTTATGTCATATATTCCCCCTCTTTGTACTTCATTTTAGCTACCTTACTCAAAGAGAACTACAGGCTTCCAAAATATATAGATTGTTATTATAAACTATACTCTCCATTACCCAAATTACCTGTTAAGTTTGAATTTTTCGGTTTTAGTATATTTTGTGTTGGTGAAAATTCAAACTAGATTATCATTTTAGGACGGAAGGAATACTTTCTTTACTTATTTATATAACAATCTATGCCGTGACACTAGAATATTTTTTATCCACCCATAAGACTACTGCAACACACCCAAACTTCTTGAAGACTTGAAGCCCAAGATTGAAGATTGGGGGAAAAGATTTATGTGATGAAACTGATACAAGTTTTCATGAAAACTAAGAACTGAGCACATGTAATAAAACTTTCTATGACTGACTAGAGAGATTGCTAATACCTGAAATTTACTAGCAAACAGCCTGCCAAACAAAAGTTACTTAAATTTTTTTTACCTTGGGCTCCTTTATTGAACATACCCCATGTATTTGAAAGTAGTTGTTCTTGCTTAACAACATACTCCATACTTATTGTGTTGACAGCCGCTCTTTTAATTAGAATAAAAGAACGGCTGTCAATTCGGCCGAGCATTTTGGGTATTAGATTTGATGTCTTACATTTGTTTGGTGATTATTTTACCAAAAGAAATTTTAATTTTACCAACTAATGTCATATATTGTGAAAATAAAATATGAGAAGCCGCCGGTCATTCATCTGAATTTCGTAAAAATATGATTAAAACCCATATTGTTTTCCGTATCTATTACTAGATATTATATAAGAAGTATTATTCGTATTTTTTTATTATAGATATTATATAAACAAAAATTATTTCTTTACCAATTTAAATCCATAGGCGGCCGCCCGGGCATTTGCCCGGGCTAAGCATCTTGTCTCTAATTATGTCCAAATCCCATTAATGCAACAGCTTCCACTTCAGTCCTTCATTTAGAATTAACTCCAAATCAGTCCAAAACCCTGGTTAAGATCGGTTTAATTATGATCAGCCCACTTAAAAGGAAGAATAGTTCGTTAATTCGTTTCAGAGTGAAAACAGCAATCTGGAGATCATCTTGAAATATCTTGGATGAAGATATATTGACATAAAAAAATCATGATTTTTATATGCTAAGGCCTTTGTTTAATCAATTTACTTGGACATATTTACGTGAAAACACCCTTGCAAGCGGCTGCCACTTTTGCTGTAAAAGTTTCCTCCTCACCTCTCATTTTAATATTTTTGTTAAGCTGAAATTGATTTTGAGAAGTTAACGTAAGTTATGAACAAAAAAACATGTCGATTAATTTATTTTGTAAGAAAATAATAAGACATATAGAAAAAACTATATGAAAGAAAATTCCCAGAAATAATTATCTTGTAAAATTTTCATTATGTATTAGGATAATGGTTCGTGCAAAAAATATAATAATAATTACAGTAAATTTTATAACATGGAATGGATCTTGCCCGTAGAAATTTGACATTAAAACTTCCTATAAATTTTCTCTGTATCAACACTCTATGTATTACACCTCTATTCCAAAATAATAGTCGTTTTAGGTAAAAAAAAAATCCAAAATAAGTGTCGTTTTCTGATTCTAATACACTTTTTGCCTTAAATTTCGAAAATTATACTCAAAATAAATAATATCATGGCAAGAATGTGTTCAATGGAGTTAGTTGAGGATATTATAATAATTTATTTATCTCATTTAAGTATTCATTGAACTTTGTGCAAATGGTAGAATGACACTTAATTTTAGAAGGGATGGAGTATTAAGGTATCAACAACTTTTGTGTTTTCCTATACTATTTCATTGACCTCCAATATGATAAATAGAGATAACGTGAAAGAAAGTCATTCACCTTTTCAAGATAAGCATTTTGAACAAGTTTCAAATCTTCATTAGTCAACATTCTAAACGTATAACTTGATTGTATTTATCAAGTTAGTTTAGAATAGTTGAGGAAAAAAAAAATTATTTTGAGAATATTTGTGTATTTATCTAGTTTTCTCTATTTTTACTTATCATGTATCACAAACTCTATCTAATCTATGTAATATAAAGTCGCGGTTCACCGGGTCAGCACCAGTTTGTGTATCGTTCCCAGTCGGTCAAGGACATGTGGCAATGCTGAACCTAGTGATTCCTTCACACTTGGCCTTCACCGCACTCCGGTGCTTCTCTTCTCTTCTTTCACGGTGAAGAAATTCGGCCACACTTTGCTTCTCTGATTTCACTTTGCTCTCATCTTCTCTTTTGAAACAAAACTATCCTGCTCCTCTTCTTTTTTTCCTTCTGTGTTTGCTTCTCGCACAAAATTGTTTCTCTGAAAATCGGGAAAACCTTTCTCATCGATGCTTATGTACCAAAGATCTGTGATAGAAGCTTCAAATTAATAGTAACTCGAAATCTCATCGCGCGTCTTGGCGGTTGTTCCATCGAACTTGCTTGGGCCAAGTCTTTTAAATTCGGAGCCGGCCAGTAGAAAATTGAATCTACCGGAGGTAGGATGACATTTATGTTTTTGCCGTTTGATTTTTTTGTTTTCTGTAGTTTTATTGTGTCTCTAATCTTTGCTGCTTTTTGTGGAGATTGTGTTCTTTCGATTTATGTTAGACTTAGGTTTCGATTTGTTTTAGATTTTTTAGTTTTTTGTGTTTTCAAATTCGGTTCCACTTTGCTTTAGATTGGATGTGTACAAAACAACATCATGTGGTTGTTTGTGGCTATTAAGGAAAATCATATGTATCTCCAGTTCAAATGTTTAATGTGCACCCAATGGGTTTGTTTTTTTTTTTTTTTGTTTCTGTGAGTGTCCTTAAATGATCTTTGCTTGTAAGCTTCATGTTCTTGTTAAGGAAAATCATGTTGTTGTTAATGTGCATCCAAAGTTTTTGAATTGAAATGATCTATACTTCTAAGCTACATATTGCAAAACAATATGGAGCGTGCATTCCTAAAAATTACATTGACTTAGAAAAACATGACTTTTTTTTTGGGTGACGTCGGGAACCCACCAGAAAAACGTGACTTCATCATTAAACTCATTTGAAAATCAAAATGTTTGCTTTAGATGTATTCAAGGTATTCGATAAAATTTGAAGAAGATAAGGGAAGCCGAAAATTTATCTTAACAATTGCAACAATCCAAATTAAATTTCATTAGGTTTTGGTACATGAAATGATTAACTGAATTTCCTTCATATTGTTGGCCTGTTGAACTTATTGACTTTGCCAAATTTTTGAATTCTTAGGAGAAGTGCCATGCATGTCTTACCTTCATCATTAATAAGCCTTATTATCCAATTCCGTGTATTTTTTATTACCAGTGGTGAATCTGTTTGTTTTATGGTCAAAATGTCTATAGTTTTTCATATCTTTATATCTTACTTTCCCTGTCAAAATGAGGCTTTGTTGTCAGAACAGAAACATTTAAACTGTTGTTTTGGTAATTTCAGTGGTGTAGTTTGTGCTTCTCGGTTGTGAATATTAGAATCGGGTGATTTGAGACCAGTGAAGTGGGACCTAAAACTTCAATTTAGAATCAAGTGATATGTGACTAGCGAGCATTCAATCTATTTAAGGTAAGAACATATTTGTGTTCTTCATTGATTGACTTTATATTATTGGAATTTTCTAGATTTTTATTATTTTCAATTTACATCTAATTGTTGGTTTCTATTTCTTTTCCCTAAGAATTGGATAATTTGGTTATGAAGGTAGAAAACAACGGATTTACCAGTCTTCTATCTAATGCATCTCATACCATTTTATTCAAGGTCCAGGTTTCAGTCACAAAAATTTGCCTCTACTGGTTGATAAAATAGGGGGAATTTAGGGGAAAAGTCGCCACATTTGAGAGTATGGTTTCGCTTCGATTTAAATTGGATTGGTACACAATAAGTTGTTGT